ACTTTTAACTGTTGATTAGTTTTATAGATTGGCGTTTTCTGATTTTTGCAACTGCTTATTGATTGTTTTTGAAGGAATGCGGACAATTTGGTGGTGATTTGTTGTGAAATTTTGGAGGAGTGTTGGGTTTAATGGGGACTTTGTCCGGGGAATACATTATGTGAATGAACAGTTGAAATATTGACGTTGTCAATCTGTTCTTGTGGGCACTTTGTATTTGTTATGAATGTAAAGAATTTACTGAAACCTTCTTTTCCTTTGTTCTTTTATTAGTCTAGAAACTGTTTATAAAATTTTAGTATCCATGTGAGATTTTACATTGGGAAGATAATGGAACATTTTCTAGTAGGGCGTGAAAAACTCTCCCTAGAAAACGCGTTTTAAAAACTTTGAGGGGAAGCCCAAAAGGAAAAATCCAAAGAGGACAATATCTGCTAGCGGTGGGCTTAGGCGGTTACAGTTGGTATTAGAGCTAGGCACTGGACGGTGTGTCAACAAGGACGCTAGGCTCCAAAGGGAGAGTCCCACATCGATTAGAGAAGGGAATGAGTGTCAACGAAGACGCTAGGCCTCGAAGGGGGTGGATTTTGAGATCCTACATCGGTTGGGGAGGAGAAGAAGCATTATTTATAAGAGTGTGGAAACCTCTCCTTAGAAAACGTGTTTTAAAAATCTTGAGGAAAAGTCCAAAGAGGACAATCTGCTAGTGGGGGGTTTGGACTATTACAATCCGTTTCATAACCATTTAGTCTTTGTTGCCGAAGAGCTAATGTACTGCAGTATTTAGCTTATGTTTCTACTTTGTGCAATGGTTTTGAGATTTCAGCCAAATTTAAAAAAATCAATCAAATTTCTGGGAACTACATGTTTTTGGTTTGTGAATCTTGCTTTGATCTAAAAAATATATGCATGTATTCAGCACTGAACAGGCTTATCTTCTTATATTGAAAACATACAGTAAATTGATGATCAAATATAATGTCAAAAGGTGTATAGCTTGCTGCTCTTTTGTCCCAACTATTTATTTACATGTTTTCCTGTTTTCCATTCTAACTGAGTAGCATGGAGCTCATTTTATACGTACCAGGAATCGCCTGATTATGTACGAGAATTGATACGGAAGACCCGAGCATTAACAGATAAACCATTTGGAGTAGGTGTAATTTTAGCATTTCCCCATGAGCAAAATCTAAAGGCCATATTAGATGAGAAAGTAGCAGTTCTGCAAGTTTACTGGGGAGAATGTTCAAAGGATCTTGTGGACCAAGCTCATTCTGCTGGGGTGAAAATTATTCCACAAGTGAGTGTTTTCTTGCAAATCACATTAACAATGGGCGGCCACACGACCCAATTTACGTAGATTGCTTTATGTTATTATTAAACTTTTTAAGTGCATGGTTGTGGAGGCTTAATTTTCGAGAAAAATCTGTCATCTTATTAAAATTACCGATACAATTTCTTATTAATCAAAGAATCTTCATGCGCGTGGATGTGGAAGCATAATCTGAAATCACTTCAGGTCCTTCATTATTATGTTCTATGACGTTATCGGTCCTCTGTTCATATTGTGGTATGTTACATTCTTTTAAAACTACTTTTGCAGGTTGGGTGCATCGAAGAAGCAAGCAAAGCAGTTGATGTTGGTGTTGATGCAATAATCGTGCAAGGTCGGGAAGCGGGAGGGCATGTTATTGGTCAAGTATAGACCTTCTTCTTCCCAGAAAACTTATTTAATTTTTGATGCTATTGTATTTGTCTCTAGGCTTCTTCCATCATAGTTTCGTTTTCATTTGCTAAATTGCCCGTGGGCTATGTTTTTGCACGGTTCTTCTCCTTCGCAAAAAGTTCTCTAAATTACTTGAAAAATAAAGGAAAAGCATCTGTTTCTCAATTCATTAAGAAACTGTTGTCGTAGTTCAAGTGTCTCCTGACTTACCCTGCTCCGAGTTCATCGTTCGAAGGGTATCGAGTTTGAAATCCCCTTGGAGAGAATTAGATTTTTTAATATTAATCTTTATCATAAAAGTATTTGGACATTCTTCCTTTTTGACATTAATCATGCATATATATTTCGATTACTTGACTACTTTTCTTCTTTAAATTTCACTATGTTGTATGAACTGCTGGTGTTTTTATTTGTTGCTTCCAGTCGGTGATATTCATTTGGATCATGTTTTCATTAGTCATGTTCTTCACCTCTCTTCACATTTGTGTTTCAACTATATCATAACTTTTCTCAAATCATTATTTGAAAAATGAAAATAGTTTACAGAAGTTTGACTTGATTCTTTACAGGAAGGTTTGATTTCCATCTTACCAAGGGTAGTTGATATTGTTGGGAATGAAGATATACCTATAATTGCGGCTGGTGGTATTTCAGATTCTCGAGGTTATGTTGCTGCCCTGGCCCTGGGCGCTCGTGGTGTCTGCCTCGGAACTAGGTTAGAAAAAGCTGAACTGTGACTGTTCGACTCGGAAAACATATTTTAAAAAGTTGGCTGATCCATGCTACAAAATGGTGCTTGATTTGAAACAATACCCGGTATCGAAAATAGAATACTGCCGCACGTTCAGAGGCAGAAAGCCTTTTTTTCTTTGGTGTAATCCAAAAGTTGCTGTTATCTTGCTATATTAGATAATCTAATAACAAAACATATCTCATAAATTTTAGATAGTATCACCATTGATCTTCTGCATCTGCTGAGATTTAAATTTTTATTTTTTTAAAAGTTTGTTGTGATAGTAATTTGAGTGCGAAGAACTAAATGAAATATTGCAGATTTGTCGCTACTGAAGAAAGCCATGCTCACCCTGCATACAAGAGGAAGTTGGTAGAACTGGATGCAACTGATTATACAGACATTTTTGGGCGTGCAAGATGGCCCGGCGCACCCCAGCGCGTTCTACAGACACCCTTTTACGATGATTGGAAATCGCTTCCTGCGGACGAAAACGAAAGCAATCAGCCTGTCATTGGCCGCTCAAGAATTAATGGCTTGGTGAGCTCCCCTTATTTCTTTTCTACCTAAACAGGTGCATAAATGAGATATTTATATTCCAGAGTGAGATCCCATGTCGGTTCGGTTGGGGAGGAAGGAGAACAAAGCATTCTTTATACGGGTGTGGATTCCTCTTCTTAGTAGATGCGTTTTAAAAACCTTGAGGGGTAGCCCGAAAGGGAAAGTCCAAAGAGGACAATATCTGCTAGTTGTGGGCTTGGGCCATTACAAATGGTATCAAAGCCAAGTTACGGGCAATGTGCCAGCAAGGAGGCTGAGCCCTGAAGGGGGTGGACACGAGGCAGTGTGCTAGCAAGGACGCTAGACCCTGAAGTAGGGTGGATTGGGGGGGTCCCACATTGATCAGAGAAGGGAACGAGTGCCAGTGAGGACTCTGGACCCCAAAGAGGGTGGATTATGAGATCCCACCTCGGTTAAGGAGGAGAACGAAACATTGTTTATAAGCGTGTGGAAACCTCTTCCCAGCATACGCATTTAAAAATTTTGAGGGGAAACTCGAGAGAGAAAACCCAAATAGGACAGTATCTGCTAGCGGTAAGCTTGGTCCGTTACACATTACATGCATTAAATTAAAAAAAAAAAAAAAAAAGTTAGCTGCCTTTTATTGTTCATGCTTTGAAGAAACTCTGCAGTCACGTTTTATGCCAGATCATTAAAAAACTAAATATTTATGCTAAAAACAAAGAAGTTAGAGGATATTCTATTGTTCTTCTCTACATGAACATTCTTCATTTAATACATTCATACTTGGAACAGGACATAGATGTACGGCGCTTCGCAGGAACCGTGCCAAATGCAACGACAAAAGGCGACATCGAGAGCATGGCAATGTATGCCGGGCAAGGAGTAGGACTAATCAAGGAGATACTACCAGCAGGAGAAGTGGTAAGAAAGCTGGTTGAAGGTGCTCAACATCTGATCCAAACACATTTGAGTAGTTTTGTTCATAAAGTTTGATGCTCAGAGCTGCAATATTTTTTGTTTCCTGAAAGAAATAAGTTCAAAAATCCATATGTAGATATAGATGAATGTCTGAAAAATTGAGCTTCACGAGTTAAAATAAAAGTAGTAACTGGGATTTGCTGTCTTGTTCGTATCAGTATCAGTGTCATTTCAGTGTCATTTCAGGTCCTTGTATCTTTGAAGCTTGTCTAGATTGATATCTTTATGTTATTAAGTTCGTTTTTGTTGTGTTTTTGGGTATCTGTTCTTTGTGGACATGTGAAATTGATAGATTATGCCTAAGCTCCAAAGCTAAAAAGACATTATTCCCATACCTTTCAAGAAAAAGGAGAGTATTCCTCTGGATCATAATCATTTGCTTATCGAATTAAAATCGTAAAAATGGTCGAATATTTTGTTTAATCAGAGTTGTAATTATATAGTATATAACAAGAACTAAATATGAATAATTCGATCCCTTCAAACACGAATTATTTAATTCTACGTCCCAAATAATCATATTTTACTAACTAAACAATGATTTAGTTAAAAAAACTTTATTCTCTCGTGTCACCCATTTATATTAAGAGCTAATTATAAAAAACCGTGTCTAGCCTTCATAATTTAATGGGTCCGACATTCTCATGCGATATAGTTATATTACCTCCTCACCTCTCAAAAACGAATATTATCTCCATAAACTAACACAGAGTTATTCCACCATGTTTTATTTTTACTCGAGATCACCAACATTGAATTAGTCAAAGTAAAACATGTTTAACCATAGGGTTGTTGTGACTTGAGTCTCTAAAAAAGAATGTGCATCTTAGCTATTCTATCATATTAATTCATGTACTACTCAGTTACTTGGGTAATACAAGTTTATTCTCAAAAAAATTTGAAATAAGAGATGAATAGTAATTTCCATATGAATATAATATAAATAAGTATTTTAGCTTATTACTTTTTTTTTTTTTTTAGTAATTTTAATATATATACTTTAATTGGTTGATTTTATTTTTAAATATCCTGCACCCCCCTAGACTTTTAGCAATCTTCCTCCATTAGCATTTTTCAGAGACGAAGTGAAAAAAAGCGCCATGGACGCAATCAGACACACATGCCTGAAGCTTGAAGTACCAACCAACGCGCAACCGGACGGAAGAGTCTCCATCTTCGTTAAAGGCACTTGGTATCAGCACCGCTTCGATCTCTCCATCACCGACGGCCTCAACGCTTGGACGTGCCATGGTGCCATTTCTAAAACCAGCACTGGATTAATTCTTCATAGTTTCCTTATTATTTCTATGTTTGACCTTGAATTTGTGCTGTACAGCGACGGAGGACGAGGTTCGGTTGCGCGCTGAACAATGGGACCAAGAACCGTCGGACTATGTGGGCTTGGCCGAGCGCTATTTAGGGTTTCAGCAGCCTGATTCGGTCTATGACTTTGCCGATGTTGGAAATGGGGACAAGAGGGTTTGTGCTATTTGGATTTCATATCCTTATTTGGTTTTTATTTTTATTTTTTTATCCCTTAGTCGTTACTGAAGAGGAAATCGAAGATTTATCAGGCACTAGGAAGAAGACGACAGCTTCTCAATTTGACTTCAAATTCGCCTCTTTGAATGCCTTTATTGTTGTTGAAGAGTAATTGAATGGAAATTTGGCTGAATAGTTTTAGCTTCTAGGTTTACTAGTGAGTTATCAGCAATTTGGCAATGGACTATTGAAAAAACAATTTTTTTTTTGAAAATGTAGGTGCAAAATAACCTTCCTAAGCAATACTAAGAGAAAGTAGGTTGTGACCCCCACATGTCAAGACAGACAAGGGGCAACCCTTAAGTGGCACCCATCCGACCATGTGAAGGCTAAGATTGAGAAGTGTCATGATGCATGCGACCAAGGAGGACGGTGCATCATCTAACACACCAAGAGTGTGCATTGAAGCTAAGTCAAGCATACGCAAAATTCGAGAGAAAGAGGCAACACAAGTGTCAAAGACAAACTCAAAAAGGGTTGGGTAGAGTCTTAGGCCATAACCTCTGAAGTTAGAGTTTCGGAATGAGTTTCAGCCGGTATGAAAGATAAAAGCTCACCAGATTTGATGTTAATCGGATACTCGATGGACTATGCACGAGGCTGTTTGTCCGCTCGCCAGAATGATGTTTACTCGAGAAAGATTGGAAATGTCTCAAAATGTACTATAGGGGGAGGCATGCTGTCAGCTCTCCACCACCCCTGGGCCTTATGGCCTAAGTGAGCTACCCTGTGGCACATGCGTGTGTCACAATGAGGGCGGCGTTTCGAGACGAGTGTTTTGAGCAACTTTCTTTGAAATGAGGTTTTCAAGGACAGTACCGGACAACACGGGGTGTGTCGGTATTGCACCCCAATCCATGTGTTGGAGGTTAGATTATGAACCCATTATTTAGAATGGATGTTGTAAATGTTCTAACATGGACACGGGAGAGTCCAATGCCTGATAAGAACTTGGATGGATTGATGATCGAGATGTCCCGATGAGATGAGATGATGCATTGAGAGACCTTGGTCTCGAGTAGAGGCAAGGTCGAGTCAGATGACTTGGCCTAGTGTAGAGGCAAGTTAGTTGTGTTGCAGATAATTGAACATGCACGCGTAGGTGGCATGTGTGGCCGAACAAGTTTGGATTCCGCAAAAGTGACGTTCGGTTGGCGAAGACAAACCTCGCCTAAAGTCTGACAAAGTCGCAAAGGTGTGCGAAAAATATATATGGGGTTTGGGTTCCCCTCAAGGATGGTTGTGAGTGTGTCAAGATCACGACGCCGCACGGTTGAAAAAGTACGATTGTGACAGTTGGTATAAGAGCCACACTTTGTGTGTCTAAGTTAGACAAGACAAAGAACTCGAGGGCCGAATGAAGACTTTGCAAGTGTGTCGCGAGTGCCAGATTGGGTAGGACAGTTGTGAGTTAGAATAAAAAATTGATTTATGGGTCAAAAGCTGGCCCCCTGAGGAGGAGTCTTACTCGTCAATAAAGCACAAACCAAGTTTATTTGCCGAAGGCTTGGGAGTTCAAATGGGCAGACAGTGAACTAGAAGGTCTACCAAGTCGGTGGCTTCGAAAGAGCCATTTGTATAAGAGGAATAATGCCAATGTTTACAAGCAAAGAAACTAGGGTCAAATGAGACATGCGTCGACTGAGTGCCAAATATGCACAACAAAAGTTCATATGGGTGGATGATATCGCTACATAGAGACAACTGAGTTAAGTGGGGGAAAGCTCGAGAGAATGGGTTGCTCACTTCGTAGAAGTGCTATAAGAAGCACACGTGTTCCTTGAGCCATTACCTCGTGCCCAAGGAGGATGACTTTACACGAGTGTTGAGACCAGCATTCGCTTGAGAGGAGAGTATCAGGCTGAACGTGGGCAACACAGTGAAACGAAACTACAACAAGACTAGAGAAGTGTCAATGTAACGTTTGCCACATGAAGGTGGCTAGTTGAGAAGTTGGTTAAAGTGTAGTGCCAACATAGGACTGAGTTAGCTTCTAAACTTTGCTTCCAAAAAAGGTTGTGGCCTAATAAGAGAATGTCGAGTTACAAATCGCTATGTAACTCAGAGAATACGACGGTTTAGGCCATGATAGCTACGTTTGGGGTGCGCTCCCTCTAGCTCAAGAGAGAAATACTGATGCTAGTTTTTGCCATTGTTTGTCCGGTGAGTCTAGGATCGAGTCCGAAAAGTAGGCGAAGTTAGGTCCATGGAGGGATAGCCCACATCCATTGGGAAAATTGTGTTTTGTTGTACTTATGCTGCGAGTATCGGAGACTGAGAGAAGATCTAACAGTGGGATATCCCATAAGTAGTGCGCAAGTTTCCGTATTCATTCTGAAAACACGAGCAAATCAGCAGGTCAAGTGAATAGCCAGTTCGATGTTCGAGTCGTCATCGGGATGATATCGAGATTAAGTTGGGAGAATGTCACAATCGATGATATAATTGTGCTCCTTAGAAAGTCATCGAGGACGATGACTAGGTTAAGTGGGGGAGAGTGTCAAACCTCACTAAGAGAAAGTAGGTTATGATCCCCACATACCAAGAAAGGCTCAAGAGGCAACACTCAAGTGATGTCAATCCGGCCACGTGAGGGCCAAGATTGAGAAGTGTCATGATGTGACCGAGGAGGACAGTGCATCATCCAACACACCAAGAGTGTGCATTGAAGCTAAGTCGAGGCATATGCAAAGTTCGAGAGAACGAGGCGATACGAGTATTGTAGACAAGTTCGAAGAGGGTCGAGTAGGGCCCCAGGCCATAACCTCAAAAGTCAGAGTTTCAATATGAGTTTCGGCATGTGGCTCAGGAATTAAGTCCGTCAATATGAAAGATGAAAGCTCACCAAATTTGGTGTCTATCAAATACTCGACGGACTATGCCCAAGACCATATGTCTGCTCGTCAAAATGACGTTTACTCGAGAACGATTGGAAATGCCTCAAAATGTACCATAGGGAGAGGCATGTTGTCAGCTCTCTAGTACCCCTGAGCCTTGTGGACTAAGCAAGCTACTATGTGACACATGCGTGTGTCACAGTGAGGGCGAGCGTTTCAAGATGAGTATCTCAAACGACTTCTTTTGAAATGCATTTTTCAAGAACAGTACAAGACGACACGGGTGTGCCAATATTACGCCCCAACCCATGTGTTGGGGGTTGGATAATGCACCCATTATCCGAAACGGATGCCGTAAATGAAGCATGGACACCAAAGAGTCCAATGGCCGATAAGAACCTGGATGGATGGATGTTCGGGATGTCCCGATGAGATGAGACGATGGGATGCAATGTTGTATTAAGAGACCTTGGCCTCGAGTAGAGGCAAGGTCGAGCCAAATGATTTGGCCTAGTGTAGAGGCAAGTTAGTTGTGTTGCGGGTGATTGAACATGCACGCGCAAGTGACATGTGTGACTGAACAAGTTTGGATTCTGCACGAGTGACGTTCGATTGGTGAAGACAAACCTCGTCTAAGGTCCGACGAAGCCACAAAGCCGGACAAAAAGTATATATGGGATTGGGTTTTCCTCAAGGTTGGTCCTAAGTGTGTCAAGATCATGATGCCACACGGTTGAAAAAGTACGACCGTGACACTTGGCATAACAAAAAGAGAACTTTTGTTGAAGCACTATTTTTTTTTTCTTAAAATCGTAGAGATTACACGATTAGATGACATGTGTACTATGTGTTTATGTCACAATCGTACATTTTCAACCATACAACTCATGATCTTGACATACTCATGACAATTCTTAGGAGGAACCCCAAGTCCCATGCACATTTTTTGTCCATCTTTGTTGCTTCGTTGGACCTTAGGCGAAGGTTGTCTTCGTCAACTGAACACAACTTGTACGGAATCTAAGCTTGTTTGGCCACACATGCCGTCCATTTGTACATGTTCAATCATCTACGACTCCATTCGATTTGCCTTTACACTAGACCAAGCCATTAGGCTTGACCTTTCCTTACTCAAGGCCAAGGTCTTTCACATGCGACGCTGCATCTCAACTTGTCATCTTAGTTTCCAATTAACACGATCCACATACCTTGATGCCATCCTAAGTCTTGGGATGTCATCAACTATCAAAACTCACTCATACCTGTCCATCGAGAACGAACCCATGTATCGTTCATATTATCGGGGCTTCCCGAAAATCCATCCATCCGAGTTCTATCGAGGCATTGGACCCTCTAATGTCCATGTCAAATCATTTTCGGGCTCCATATCAAATAGCGGGTGCATATACCAACCTTTGACACATGGGCGGGGGTGCGTTCTTGGCACACCCGTGACATCCAACATTGTCCTTGAAAGACCCATTTCAAAAGAAATCGCCTAAGATACTCGTCTACAATGTTCGCCCTCACTGTGACACACGTATGTGCCATAGGATAGCTCGCTTAGGTCACAGGTTTAGGGGTGGTGGAGAGTTGACACCATGTTTTCCTCTTAATACATTTTGAGGCATTTTTGGTCGGTTAGGAGCAGACATAATTTTGGCGAACAGTCATACGATCTTGTGGAGCGTCCGTTCAATGTTTGATCGACACCAAATTTCGCGAGCATTCATATTTCATAAGAACATACTTAACTCCAAAGCCATATGCCCAAATTTCTTTTGGAACCTCGACTTTCGAGGTTAAGGCATGAAGCCTTACCCGATCGTTTATCGAGCTTGTCTTTGTCCCTCTTGTCTACTTGTTGCCTCCATCTTGCTTATGCCTCATCTTACTTCAATGCACATCTCTTTGGTGTGTTAGATGATGCAATGTCCTCATTGGTTGCATCATGACACTCATCTATCTTGGCCTTCGCATGGTCGGATAGACACCACTTTAGGGGCGCCGCCTTATTTGTCGCATGTGAGGGTCACAACCTACTCTCTTCATAGTATGGTTGTGACATTCTCCCCTACTTAAACTAGTCATCACCTTCAATGACTTTCTTAGGGGCACAATTGCTCTATGGATTGTGACACTCTCCCCCACTTAATCTCGACATGTCCTCGATGACGTTATGAACTTTGAACTAATTGCTAACTTAACCCGCTTAGCTTTATCATGCTCTAGAGTGAATACGGAAACTGCATACTACTTATGAGCTATCCCACTGATGGACCTTTCCTTGGTCTCCGAGACTCGCAGTATAATCACGGTAAAATAATTGCCCAATGGTTGTCGGCTATCCCATCTGAGGTCTCTCTTGCCCATCTCTCGGACTCGGTTCAGGACTCACCAGACAAACCATGACAAAACTAGTGTCAGCATATATTTGCCTAAGCTAGGGAGAGTGCCCTCAAATGTGGCTACTTTCGACTTAACCATCGTATTCTTTGAGCCGCATAGAGATCTGTATCACGACATCTCCTCGTCATAGCCACATCCCTTTATGGTGGTAAGGTGGGTTTGTGTATCACAACATTTTTTTTGTCATAGTCACAACCGTTTTTGGAAGCAAGGTCTGGAAGTTTGTGACACAGTCACATGTTGGCACTACACTTCAACCAACTTCTCAACTGACCACCTTTATGTGGCAAAGCCTGCCTTGATACTTCTCTGGTCTTGCGGTAGCTTCATCTCTATGTCCACGTCTAGCTGGTGCTTTCTTCTTGAGTGAATGCAGGTCTCGACTCTTTTGAGAAGTCACTCACCTTAGGCATTAGGAGATGACTTAAGGAATACACGTGTGCTCACTCTTTAGAGCACATCCACGGGGTGAGCAACCATTCACTCGGGCTCACCCCCATTTTGAACTCGACTACCTCTTTGCAGCTATGTGGTCCCCCCATAAGGACTTGCGTTGTGCTCAATTTGGCACTTGGACAACACATGTCTTGCTTGACCCCCTATTTTTTTGCTTGCAACCATTGACACTATTCCTCTAGTGCGAATGGTTCTTTGGAAGACATCCAACCTATTGTGCATTCTGATTCTTTGTTTCTCAATTCAGAACTCCCAAGCCCTTGGCAAATGAGCTTGGCTCGTGCTTTACTGATGGGTAAGACTCCTCCCTAGGGAGTCTGACTTTAATCCAGAAAGCTAATTTTGATTTTGGCTTGCAACTATTCTACCCACTCCCGCATTCGTGATACACTTGAAAGTCTTCGTTCAACCCTCGGGTTCTTTTCCTAACATCTTGTCAGATATAGACACACAAAATGTAGCTCTGATACCAACTATCACGATCGTACTGTTTCAACCGTGTGACGTTATGATCTTAACATGCTCATGACAAGCCTTAAGGAGAACCTAAGCCCCACATATATTTTTCGCCCATTTTTGTGGCTTCGTCAGACCTTAGCCAAGGTTTGTCTTTGCCAATCGAACACAACTTGTGTTGAATTCAAGTTTGTTCAGCCAAACACGACGCCTATTTTTAATCATCTGCGACCATGCTCGACTTGTCTCTACACTAGGTTAAGTCATTTGGCTTGACCTTGCCTCTACTTGGGGCCAAAATCTTTCACATGCAACGTCGCATCTCAATTCGTCATCGTGGTTCCCAATTAACATGACCCACATATCTTGATGTCATCCCAAGTTTCAGGATGTCATCGACCATCAAAACTCACTCGGACATGTCCATCGAAAACAGACCTATGTGTAGTTCATATTGTTGGGGACTCCCGAACATCCATCCATCCGGGTTCTATCTCGGTGTTGGATCCTCCCGTGTCCATGCCAAATCATTTACGAACTCTGTATTGGATAGCAGTGGGTGTTGAACCTTTAACACATGGTTGGGGTTGTCGCACACTCGTGTCGTCTGACACTGCCCTTGAAAGATCCATTTCAAAGTAAGTCAACGAGACGCTCGTCTCGCAACACTCGCCTTCACTATGACGCATGTATGTGCCACGAGATAGATCGCTTAGGTCATAGGACCTAGGGGTGGTGGAGAGTTGACACCATGGTTTCTCCTAAGGTACATTTTGAGGCATTTTTAGTCTGACAAGAATAGACATGATTTTGATGAACGGTCATACGTTCTCATGGAGCGTCTGTTCGGTGGCCGATTAACACCAAATTTGGTGAGCATTCATTTCCATATGGACGGACTTAACTCCAAAACCGCATGCCCAAACTCCTTTCGAAACTCGACGTTTGAAATTAAGGCCCGAAGCCCTACTCAATCCTTTATCAAACCTATCTTTATTCCTCCTGTCTACTTGTTGCCTCAATTTTACCTATGTCTCATCTTGGCTTCCAGGTACATCTCTTTGGTGTGTCCTGGTGTGTCAGAGGATGCAGCATCCTCCTCTGTCACATGGCATTCATCTTGGCCCTTGCCTGAGGGTTGCCAAGATTAACTAAATACAAAGGCACACTTGAAAGATTAACTAGGGCACATTTTGGTCGCTAAGGTTTTGAAACATACACTTTAGCCCTTTAAGTTTTGGAAACGGATTGAAATGGCATCCAACTTCTATGTGACGATTAAGTTGCTGACATTATCTTGCTGATATGGCAAAATATATTTGTTTAACAACATTTTTTCATTTCTAAAATTTCTGTCTCCTTCCTTTCTCTCCGCTGGTGAATCTTGCAGCTGCTCATCGTCTCCCCTTCTTATGAACTAAACTGTTTCTTTTGCACTTTGATGGACAAAATAGTCACCAAAAGTGTAGTTTACTATTAAATCAGATTAAGCTTGGTTAATTTTTTTTTAGTCTAGAATAAATTTTAGAATTTGATTACATTAATCAATCTCTTTGTGGGCTGGATGGTTTTGATATGGTAATCTTATGAACTCGGAAGAGGGATTCAATTATCTCAACGATAAAGATCGAGGTTTCATTTTATTTTAATCTTTGGATGACATTGATTAGCACTTTGTTTTGGTTCTTTTGTAGCTTTCTTGGACATTTAACAAAGAAGGGATGAAGTTAGAATGGCGATGGAAATGTCGACAGGCATCGGATAATAAGACTACTACAGCAGGAATATTGGACTTTCTCATGGATGCAAACATAAGGCTGAGCGTAATACTATGCCTCCTTGTTGTGTTTACAATGTTTTAGATTTTCTCAAGGTTACTTCTATTCAGCTGTTTGTCTGTACTTCTCATTAATTTCATGAGCATATTGTTCCATAGCTAATACTATGCCTCCTTGTTGTGCTTACCAATTCACTTCATATGGCATTTGAGTTGTGACTTAGAGATCATCTTGGGGAGGAGAACGAAACACCCTTTATAAGGGTGTGGAAACCTTTCCCTAACAGATGTGTTTAAAAGCTTCGAGGGGAAGCCCAAAGAGGACAATATCTGCTAGTAGTGGGTCTAAGCCATTACAAATGGTATCAGAGCCAAACACCAGACGATGTGCCAACAAGGAGACTGTTCCCCGAAGGGGGTAGACACGAGGCGGTGTGCTTAGTAAGGACGCTGGGCCCTGAAAGGGGTGGATCTGGTGGGGGTCCTACATCGACTGGAGAAAGGAACGAGTGGCAGCGAGGACGCTGGGCCTTGAAGGGGGGTGGATTGTGATATCCCACATTGGTTGGGTAGGAGAACGAAACACCCTTTATAAGGGTGTTGAAACTTTTCTTTAACAGACGCGTTTTAAATCCTTGAGGGGAAGCCCGAAAGGGAAAGCCCAAAGAGGACAATAGCTGCTAGCGGTGGGCTTGGGCCGTTACATGCTCTGTTCTTAATTTTTTCTTATAACTTATGCCTGCTTGATTTTTGTATGAATAGGAAGAGGTTGTGAGAAAGACTCAATCATTTGAGAAGCTGAAAGTGGAGTCTGAGAAGTGTTTGGCTCAGAGCGAGAGGATTTGTGAAGAAAAGGTGGAGTTTGAAACTGCACTATATGCAAAGGTACTGAAAGTTTCATATACTTATGATTTAAATTTCACCCCATCTGTTTTCTTCTTTGTCATCTCTGTAAGCGCTATACCATTCTGAATTATTGCTTCTTCAAAAATCATGCTACACCTTAGCTTCAAGAGTGTAACATGATGCAATATGTACTTGTTCATTTTATCAGTGTAGAAGCTTTGTTCTTTGCATTTGAAAATGTAGCATGATGTCTTGCTGTTGGAAAAACTACTGTTTATGTAATTGTGTTTTCTTTGTAACTAATTGTGAGATCCCACGTTAGTTGGGGAGGAGAACGAAACATTCTTTGTAAGGGTGAGGAAACGTCTCCCTAACAGACGCGTTTTAAAAACCTTGAGGGGAGTTCAAAAGGGAAAGCTCAAAGAGGACAATATCTGCTAGTGGTGGACTTAAGTTGTTACAAATGATATCGAAGCTAGACATTAGGTGATTTACCAGCAAGGAGGAGGTTAAGCCCCGAAGGGGGGTGGACACAAGGTGGTGTGCCAGTAAGGATGCTGGGTTCCGAAGGGGGTGGATTGGGGAGTCCCAAATCGATTGGAGAAGAAAACGAGTGCCAGCGAGGACGTTGGTCTCCAAAAGAGAGTGGATTGTGAGATCCCACATCAGTTGGAGAGGAGAACGAATCATTCTTTATAAGGGTGTGAAAACCTATCCCTAGCCGACACGTTTTAAAAACCTTGAGGGGAGCCCAAAAGAGAAAGCCCAAAGAAGACAATATCTGCTAGTGGTAGGCTTAGACGGTTACACTAATCGTTCTACTAACCCAAGTAAACATTTATTCGATTCTACAATCAGGCAACCTTCCTTTGGCATTAATCTACTTCACATGTGTTTCTGCTTCACTGATCAAGGGTGGTAGCCTCCAGTGGTAAGAGGTGTTCTTTTTCTACTTTCTGATTGGAAGTTCTTAGTTTTTATTCCTTAGTGAGATATTGAATGCCGCGGCATGCATTATTCACCAGACCAGACTTTGTTCAATATATAGGTGGTCTAGCGAGGATGTTATACATTCTCAGTCCAACATGGTTTTGATGGAACTAGTTTGAGGCCTACGAAAAAGGTCCTCAGCCCGTCTCTGTTATTGTGAGATCTCACATTGGTTGGGGAGAAGAACGAAATATTCTTTATAGAAGTGTAGAACCTCTCCCTAACATACACGTTTTAAAAACCTTGAAGGAAAGCCCAAAGAGGACAATATCTGCTAGCGGTGGGCTTGGGTTGTTACAAATTGCATCAGAGCCCGACATCGGGCGATGTGCCAGCGAGGAGGCTGAACCCCAAAGGGGGTTGGACATGAGGCAGTGTGCTAGCAAAGACGTTGGGCCCCATGAAGGGGGTAGATTGTCAGATCCCACATCGGTTGGGGAGGAGAACTAAACATTCTTTATAAGAGTGTGGAAACCTCTCCCTAACAAATATGTTTTAAAAACCTTGAGGGGAAGCCCGAAAGGGAAAGCCCGAAAGGGAAAGCCTAAAGAGAAAAATATCTTCGAGTAGTGGGCTTGGGCTTGGACTGTTGTTACGATATTGCACCATATTTGAACCATGAACCCACCAGACTGTCATCTTAAGGCTCTGTTCTACTTTAGGTTTCACTTAACAAATACACCAGGGTTCCTTAATCAATACTCGAAAAAAGACATCTCGTGGAAGTAGTGCAGACATTTAAAGTTTAGGGTATTCCACGTACGGAAATCAAAGAATCTTAAAAGGTGATATGATAAAGATGATTTTATATCTAGGGTGGAAAAGCAAGCACTAGCACGCGCGTATATATATACCTTAACTCTTTCACGAGATGCTCAGTGAAGCATATAATATTTTAGAATATGTATTGCACGTGTCTATGTACGGAAATCAAAGAATCTTAAAAGGTGATATGATAAAGATGATTTTATATCTAGGGTGGAAAAGCAAGCACTAGCACGCGCGTATATATATATACCTTAACTCTTTCACGAGATGCTCAGTGAAGCATATAATATTTTAGAATATGTATTGCACGTGCCTATGTTTGGCATTCTTATTATCATCCGTTTCAATACTTGTCTTGTCTTCTATTAGATACATGTTAAATTTATTAGGAAAGTATCATTCAAATGTATGAACATTAAATTAAAATGTTCATGTGAAATCCCATATTGATTGGAGATGAGAACGAAACACTCTTTATAAGGGTGTGAAAACCTCTCTCTAATAGACGCGTTTGGAAAGCTCAAAAAAGAAAGCCCAAAAAGGACCGTAATATCTGTTTGAATGAATGTTTCATGTATTACTGAAATGGCACCCCTTGTTTCTTACTTGAAATTTGTAAATGTTGTTCTGATTGCTTCCAGTTTCTAAATGTCTTGAATACAAAGAAGGCCAAACTTAGAGAGTACAGAGATCAGTTTCCAAAACAGACCACAACTAGCAGCAAACTTAAACAAGACGACGAGTACTCTGATAAAACCGAATCCTTTGACGATGATAGCGATGCAGAAAAGAACTAACGAAGAACAACATTGAGACTTAACTTGCGGATCTCAAGGAATCTTACATGAAATAAGTTGGATTTGTTATTGGATTTGTTATCCATGTTAGTACGTTAAACATTTTCTTTGTTTTTCGAGTATGGAAGAGTGAGGATTTGAATATCCAATCTAAAAAAGAAGTAAGATACATTTACTGATGAACTATGTTCATGTTGACACGATAGAAACGGCTAAAAAAAGATCTGAATCTATTCTAAGTATAATTTAATGTGAAATTTGCTTAAATAATTAGTTTTTAGATAATTTATCGAAAGTTTCGTACCTATAACTTTGTATCGAAGTATTAGTTGGTAGCTTGTATCCTATTTAAACTTATGAATATGATGAAAATGGAACCTTCAATCCAAATTTTATTTCTCATTCTAACTTTGTATTGTTTTTTTGACTAATAATATTGTCAGATCTATTCATACTTTTGAGTATAGATATTGTGTCAGAATACATAACACAGTTTTCGCACATGTATCTGGGTTCACTGGGCAAGCTTGTTAGAGAACACCCTAGACGCCAACCAACAAAAAAGAAAATAACACAACTAATATCATGATTGTACACGTCTGTACATTATATGTCGGAGAAGTAATTCAGGATCACGTAATATACAATATGCATAAGGTTCTAGGTCAAAAATCCTGTTTCAATTAGATGATACATATAATAGTTCCGTAAATAACATGACATATGTCTCTTAAGAGACAGTATTTTAATTATGCTTATATTACATTGTACACATGATGTCTCAAACGATATAAACATAGTCATATAATCATATCAATCATATATAAAAACAAGACACCAGGTAACAAACAATTTCATCTAACCTATTTCATAGGTATTCAACGAGTAAGTTCACTTACAGTAAATAGTTTAATCTGATGTTCCTGAGGTTCCGTAAGCTCATCATCTCTTAAAGCTGCTATCAAGTTTATCATTTCTTAAACACAGCTTTAAGAGAGTTCATTGTCACCTATCATGTCAACTTTCGATCAGCTTTACTAAAGATAATTCTATTACTGTTACATGAGAGATATTCGTTTAAATGGCTCAAGATCAAAGTTTTTTCGACATAAAAATGTCTATGGTTGTTAGCTTGTTTCAAGCTGGTAAGAATCAATCCCCTTTCTTTTTGCTTTTTCAGAGAATAAATTTGTCTATGGTTGATTTTCTATAGGTCTGAAAAGTCTTTTTTTTTTATTATTTGATTCTCAAAGATTCTTTTTTTTAAGTATCATAAATAAAACCTTCAACCAAACGACTCCATAGAGGTATCTTGACAATGAAACTCATATTTAATCCTTTATTCTCGTAATAAGAATCTAAAAAAGAAAAAAAAGTGTTTTCTTCATCGCCTCTATCTCGATATTCTCACTCTTTCAGAGGGCACCAAAACGTTGAATGATAGGATGAGGTATGGAAGCTGGTTCAAAAGAGAAGGGGCGTGGATTTCGTCGTGCAGAGACGTTTAGATTTTTACTCGCCCGCGAGTTTAAAAATTTCCTTTATTTTTTTCAACCGTTACATTATATACCTCTGAAAAGGACTTTTGCCCTTGAAAGTGTCAAATTCCTGCAACAACTTAGGATATTTTTCTCTTATCTCATCTTCTCGTTCTCGCTTATGCCAAGATGCTTTACCCTATTAAAGACGTTCATAAGTAATTTTAATTCCTAATTTTTATAAAGTAATTTTCAATTTATTATGAATTATCTAATAAATGGTATGTCAGTGGTCATTGTATTGTAGACATATTTATCCTAGTTGGCACTCGTTTCACTTTCCAATTAATGTGAGATACCACATCAGGTTGGAGAGGGGAACGTCACATTCTAAGGTTATGGAAACCGACCTTAGAAGCTGTGTTCTTACAACCTTGAGAAGAATTTTGAAAAAAAAAAAAAAAGTCTAAAAATGACAACATCTCGTGGCGTGAACACGTATGTAATTTATCCAAAAAATTGTTAAAAAAAAAAAAAGTTTAAATGGAAACAAACTTCTTCAACCAAAATTTTCCGACTCCCCATAAATCACTTTTCCACTTTACTCATCACTCCCGTACATCAACCTTACATTTACCTGAAAATCATTTTAAAAATCGGATGAATATTAAAAATATTGAGTAAGGCACTTTCCTACCAAGTTAGATATGCAAATTGTCATGTAGTTATCAATCAAAATCGAGGGACCTAGTGGTTGATTACTCAAAACACATATCGTGTAATTTACTCACCAAAAACTATTTTCAACAATCACTCTTCAATGATTATTAGTGGCTGGCTACTTGATACGCACAACGTGTAATCCTTACCACAAAAATAATTTTCAACAATCACACCATTATTAGCGGGTTACTCAATATACTCCTCCAACTTGTATCCGATATCTATTTTTCCACTTCAAATAGTATTTCGAATGATGCTCGAGAGCAGCAACCGCAAGGACTGCGACCGCCTAATAGACACGGATGAAGCTGGGTGGTGGAATCTTAAAAAGGTAGGTGGTAACATCAGATAGTAAGCTACTTATTCAACTCGCTCTAAAATCCAAAATAATCTAACAAAGCTTGAACTTAACTTTCCCTTGCGCCCAAATGAGATGTCCGCCTTTATTGGTGCTGTGAATGTTTGATTAATCCACCACACCTAAATGGTGTGAAAGTTATCTTATTTATAATCAAATAAATTACAACGATATGGAAATAGTAATAAATGGAAATAACAATAAATGGAAAGATACATTTGCCTTATAATAAAATATCAAATATAATATATATGGTAAACTATAATTTATTACTAAATATCCTTAACAGGTGCTATATCTAAGAATACTTTACTAGAACTACGAACTTAAGATCCCTTCCATTTGAAGCTTAGTTAATTTTGGAGTCTAAACACTATTTCCTTATTAAAAGAGTAACGGTGGGCATGATTCTTTGCTAACTCTTTCATCTCTACCATGACGCCAAAATTTGTCATATCCAAGATTATCAGTGTCATATCCATCAGGTGGCTTGACACAGACACTTGATAGCCTCTTACCTTCTTAAGCGGTTCTACGTTTACCTCAACACAGAACCTAGTACTCTAATTCTATCCTCACAAAACTGGGAGAAATGAAAGAGTGGATAGAGCCAAAATGAAACAACGCTCTTGCAAAGTGGGCTAAGATAGACAAAATACATGTGACTATAGTGTTTGAGGTTTCGACCTCATTGACGCCGAACCTAAACCGTGCTCTAGAATAATGACATAGATTCCACCTTGCTACTAGATCAGCTTCTAGGGTAAGACCTGATCACTATTCGAGGCTGATAGGTATCGACTATCATCTTACCCTAAGATATTGCAAAGCTCCATTGCCCTCCTTGTGGCAGTTGAAGCAAACCCTATTCTCAAACCTGTGTGTCGTAGTGTCATCCACAATTAGTAAATAATTTCTCAGAAGGATAGTCTTGTGTGGGTCTACGTCCACCTTGATTGTGTGAGGTCTTGGTTGAGGGTTGTGCAGTTGGCTCCACCTTCCTCTTTTGCCCTCTTCTCCAACTCGGGTTAGGAACCTTGTCATCTTTCGCATCTTCGATTCGAAGTGTCGTGGCATAGTCAGGTGGCTCATGAGCAAAGACCGCACCTCGAACCACAAGTCTTAGGCCCATGATGAAACATTACATTTATTTTCTTTTATATCGACCACACCAAGAGTAAATCAGGACAATCGAGTAAGCTCGTGATCATACACTTCTGTTAACTTGTCTCCCAACTCAATCTTTAGAAATTCTTACCGCTTTTTGTACCGTAACACTAGCTTGAAATATGTCTATACCCAATGATCAGGTTAACATGTGCACCGAGAGTCCTCAAAGCCGACTACTACTACAATCAAGCATCCTATTTCATATGATCAAATATTTCATGTATTATTGACATAAAAGTTCCATACATATTCATTGCCATTCCTAGTGAAGTATCACATTCCCATAATATCATAATCATATATTCACATTCCACTTGATATTCCAACTCCTTTAAGCTTTTCAAAAGTATATTTTATTTAATCAGTAAACTTCGAAGACTATCGTCCGTTGAAATAAAAATACATAAATTTTACCTAAATAATCAAAACATGTATGGATATATGGATAATAACTTTATTTGTATTTATTTTTTAAAGTATATTTGTCTTCTCATCATTTCTAATGGTATCTTTTACCCTAATGTTCATCTTTTTATGATCAGCCTATAAGATAGTGTAGTTGTTCAATCCCATTGTTCCAAAGCTAAGAAAGTTCCAAAAGAGAGATTGAAAGATGGGTTCGATCTCCAAAACTAGTAAGCCACACGTTGTATGTGTCCCATTCCCAGCCCAAGGCCATATCAACCCTATGCTAAAGCTAGCTAAGCTTCTCTACCATAGAGGTTTCCACGTAACGTTCGTCAACACCGAGTACAATCATAGACGTCTGCTTAACTCGAGAGGCCCGAACTCGGTCGATGGCTTGCTAGATTTTCAGTTCAGAACCATTCCTGATGGCCTTCCCTTCTCGAATGCGAATTCTACCCAAGACGTACCTTCCCTTTGCCAATCCACCTCCAAGAATTGCTTAGCTCCTTTTTGTGATCTTATTTCTGAGCTTAACTCGATCATTGATGTCCCGCCTGTTAGCTGTATTGTTGGAGATGCTATCATGTCTTTCTGTATGTTGGCGGCTAATAAATTTAAAATCCCTCATGCTTTGTTTTGGACTGCTAGTGCTTGTGGCTACTTTGGTTACTTGCGTTATTGTGAGCCGATTAAGCACGGGTTGGTACCACTTGAAGGTATGATTCATTTTTTTTTAAAGCATAATATATTTTAATTTGAAAGTGGGGTTTTTTAATATTAGCTTCTTTCATGGTTTAGACTTGGAGAATACAATAGAATGGACTCGGGAACGGAAAAGTATACGTTTGAGGGACCTGCCTAGCTTTCTTCTTACAACGGATCGAGATGATATCATGCTAAATTTTATCAATCAAGAAATGAGTAGATGTCGAGAAGCTTCGGCGATTATATTAAACACATATGATTCGCTTGAACACGATGCTATAGATTCTCTTTCTTCTATACTTCCTCCTCTTTACATAATTGGTCCACTTCACTTGCTTGTCAACCAAATAGATGATGAAAAGCTAAGAACAATAGATTCAAATCTTTGGGTCGAGGACATGGATTGCATCGAGTGGCTTAACTCAAACGAACCCAACTCGGTAGTTTACGTAAATTTTGGTAGTACAACGGTGATGACAGAAGAGCAACTAATTGAGTTTGCATGGGGATTAGCAGACAGTGAAAAGCCGTTCTTATGGATAACAAGACCCGATATAATCGTGGGAGATTCAGCCATTTTGCCAGTTGAATTTGTAACACGAACCAAAGATAGAAGCTTGATAGCAAATTGGTGTTGTCAAGAACAAGTGTTGAGCCATCCATCTGTGGGAGGGTTTCTAACACATAGTGGATGGAATTCGAGTCTTGAAAGTATATGCGCTGGAGTGCCGATGATCTCGTGGCCTTTCTTCGCCGAACAACAATTGAATTGTCGTTATTGTTGCACCGAGTGGGGCGTTGGGATGGAAATCGATAGCAATGTTCGAAGAAATGATGTCAAGGAGCTTGTGAGAGAGCTAATGGATGGTGAAAAGGGTATGAAAATGAAGAAGAATGTTATGGATTTGAAGAGCAAAGCTGAAGAAGCGTATAAACATGGTGGATATGCTTCCAAGCAATTGGATAAACTCATCAATGATGTCCTTCTACAAAATTCTTAACTTGGTTTATATTTAGAAGAGTGTGCTTATTCAATAAATTCTCCTCAGTTTGTTCAAGAATAAGTTTGTAATGACTTTTTAAATGAAATATTTTTTATGAGGGCCTGAAAATCTCTTTTTATTAGATGCATTTTAAAACCGTGAGGTTGATGGCGATATATAACAGAACAAAGTGGACAGTATCTACTAGTGGTGGCTTTGGGCTATTACAATGGTATTAGAGCCAAGCACCGAGGGAGAGGTGATCCTCTGTGCTAGGGCTCTCGGAAGCCCATAGCTTCCCCTTCTGAGTGGCATTGGACTGAGGTCATCTCATCGTGGGGAATTACTCTGTCTCATCACTTGCCTTATGTCGGACAGTTCCTCTATGATAACCCCCAAAATGGCATCTCAATTGTGCCCCCAATGCCATTGAAGTACTCTCTGGTACAAGTCGTGAGCATAACCAATTCAGGGACAGGGGCTTACCTTGAAACAACTTCCAATGTCATACCTTTTGTCTGCCCTGCTCGCTGTCTTTTCATTCGGAATCCAGCTTCACCACTCTATCTCACTGTGGCCACTCTGATGAAGAAGATTACTGGGCCACTCTCCGTTCATTCCAGTTGCCATCTACGGATGTCAAGGTTAATCCAATTGTACAGTTCAAGTGATGTGCTAGCGAGGATGTTGGACTCTTAAGGGGGGTGGATTGAGAGATCCCACGTTAGTTAAAGAGAGAAACGAAACATTGCTTATAAGGGTGTGAAAACCTCTCCCTAGTAGACGTGTTTTAGAATCGAGAGGCTGATGGCGATACGTAACGAGACAAAGCAAACAAAATCTGCTTGCTAGCTATGAGCTTGAGTAGTTATAAAAAAAAAAAAAAATTATAAACTCAAGTACTAACATATCGTCCTACAATGAAAAAAACCAAGTGCATAAACTTTCTAAAGATCTTCGTTTTATGGCCTCCACGTAGAAGCCGTCATCTGTGCATTAGTCTCTTGCCCTTACCTAAAAATATTAATAAAATGATAAATATTAAATGATCCTACGGTTGGAGTCGAGAAAATGCTGTCACACACATGTATTATAACTAATGAGACCTAATCTTCATGATTGTACGTTAGACTATACCTTTTTTATTAGGTAAAATTGGATGCATATTACTTTTTTACACAGTTTTGCGCAAATGTACGTGGTGTCTCAAAAAATATAAACCTAGTCATATCATCCTATGAGTCATATGAACAATTAATACCATGTAAAAGTCACATGGTACATTGCAACAAACAATTTCATCCGATAGTAATTTCACTTACCGCAAAAGCTCTAACGTTCTTAAGTCTCGGTAAACTTGTCATCTCTTAAACTCAGCTTTAAGATAGTTTGTAGGTTTATAGTTGGGTAGTGGGATTGTGGAGCATAGATTCAAATCTAATTTTCAACCTTCAACCGTAAACTGATACTAATAAGAAGATCTTTGAAGGATAGGAATCAAATTTAACTTCCAACTCTCGATAAGCTTTTCTAAAGATAATTATGTTACTGTTACATGAGATGTTCGTCTAAATGGCTCACTATCAGCCAAGTAAAAAGGTAAACAAAAAAAAGCAAAGGAAAAAGAAACCTTACATTCCCTTTCCCCTTTTGCTTTCTTTTTCTCCGAAGATAACCCGCCGAGCCGTTTGTTTTAAGTTTTGGAATGGAAAAAGAGAAAAATATAATAAAATTGTTGAAAATATTTAATTATATGATATTTTGATAACATTTTCGGTGCAATACCAAACATAGTTATTTGATTCTCATACATCATAGACAAAGTCTCCAACCAAACGACCTTATAAAAATGTCTGTAAAGGTGGGAACGAGACATAATTATTCCTGGTTCTCGTGATAAGTAAGGATCTAAAAAAGAAAAAAAAAACGTGAAAAGAGGAGGTATATGAAAATCAATCAAATCAATATTTTCTCACTCTAAAGTGGTTCAATTTTAAAGCATTCTAAAAATAAATTATTAATGAATAAGGACTAAAATTTAAAAGTTAGTTACAAGTAAAATAAATAATTATAAATTAATATTGATGAAGAGTGGTGGACCCATAACCCATAGGTCTCAGGTTTTCTGGTTTTGATAACCGTGGCTTTAGATTATTATTTTCTTCTTTATTTTTTATAATGAATTTTAAAATGTCACTTAATTCCTTTTCAACCATGAGAGTGGTGAAGCAGAAGTATGGTGGTCCCATAATCCATAGGTCCCAGGCTCAAAATCGGGCTCTGATAAGAGTGGCTTCTGTTTATTTTTTTTTTCTTTATTTTTTATAATGAATTTTAAAATGTCACTGAATTCCTTTTCAACAATGAGAGTGGTGCAGCAGAAGTATGGTGGTCTCATAACCCATAGGTGGTGCAGCAGAAGTATGGCGGTCTCCATAACCCATAGGTCCCAAGATCAAAACCGGGTTCTAATAAGAGTGGCTTTTGTTTATTTTTTTCTTTATTTTTTATAATGAATTTTAAAATGTCGCTGGATTCCTTTTCAACAATGAGAGTGGTGCAGCAGAAATATGGTGGTCCTGTAACTTATAGGTCCCAAGATCAAAACTGGGTTCTAATAAGAGTGGCTTTTGTTTATTTTTTTCTTCTTTATTTTTTATAATGAATTTTAAAATGTCACTGAATTCTGAATGGCATAGCGGAAGCATGGTAGGCTCATAACCCAGCTTATAAGAGTAGCTTCCGTTCATTTTTTTTTTCATTTTTTCCCATTTTTCTTGCTTTTAAATGGATTTTTGTGTAATAGTTAATTTCTTTTCAACAATTAGAGTGGCGCGGCGGAAGTGTGGTGGGCCCATGACCCACAGGTCTCAGGATCGAAACCTGTCTCTGTTTCCCTTTTTTTCCTTTTTCCCCCCCCTTCCTTTTCTCTTGCTTTTTTGTATTGCATTTTGGGACATGAGGCTCGGTCAACAATTTTGAGTTTCATAGTTGCAGAAGAATCATAGAAATCCTTTCCCAACAATTTTCACTTCTCCACCAAAACTTTCCCATCCCTCCAATTCCCCAGATCTCATCACTTCTTCATCTCCTCCCTGCTCTCATAGTTTCTTATTTTTGTTGGTGGATCAGACATGCCAGTGGCTGCTTCCGCCATTTACTTCCTCAATCTCCGAGGGGATGTTCTCATTAATCGTCTCTACCGTGACGATGTCGGGTAATTTTACCTCTTTATTTTCTGAGTTCCAATTTCTATTCTGGATGTTCACGTAAGAGGGTTCGTGGCGTGTCTATATTGCTTATACGTCTGGATTATATGATTTCATTTATTGGGTCGAGCTTACAATTTAAGTTTTGATCGTTGGAAGAGTTTCTAAAGCAATGGGCATTGTTGAGATTCTTTGTAATTGAGTCTGAGGTGATCAACTGAATCATGTTTTCAGCGAATTGTAGATCCTCGCTGTTACTTGTTTGATATCAATCAGTGTTTTCATGGTACACTTAGAGCCTATGGTGAGGGGTGATGTGAGGTGCTCGCCTTTTGCGCGTTTTAGTCACAATGGTGCACGAGCACTTGCCTCAATCATGAAGAAGGGGAAGAGTCGAAAGAAGATGATTAGAGAAGAAAAATAAGAAGAAGATGAGTAGGGAGGGATGGGAAGAAAATAAGATGAGTATAGAGAAAAGAACAAGACCAAGAAGATGAGTTAGATGGTAATTTACCTTATGCCTCAATGTAGGAAACCCGTCTACACGTGCGGATTATGTCATTTTTTTCGTCGGGTTATTTGATGAATCCTTAGAGAAGCCCCTTTTAGACAAACTATTGTGCAATCTGCATACTTTATGAGATAAAGATGGTGGTGAGCCAAAATGACTTTCTTAAGCTTCTAAAAGTGTGGTATGTAGTAATAGTTTCAAAGGTATTTAGTTATTCTATTAGGCGGGTATTATTGCACGGATGGAATATTGCTTATTTCAGCTTATGGATACAATTTTTATGCATCGTTGTGTTTTCTCGTTAAGTTATGCGCATTAAATTTTTACACCTAAAAAATTCGCAGCGGAAATATGGTGGATGCCTTCCGAACACATATAATGCAAACAAAAGAACTTGGCACATGCCCGGTGAGACAGATTGGTGGTTGCTCTTTCTTTTACATGAGAATTAGCAATGTATACATTGTGATTGTTGTAAGCAGCAATGCAAATGTAGCTTGTGCATTCAAGTTCGTGGTTGAGGTAGTTAGCATCTTTTTTGTGGTTGTATGCTGTGGTGTAACATTCTTTCCTTCATGATTTAAGTTCGATGTTTGATTAATCAACTATTTTCGAGTTTATATTTAGCTTCCTTTTAGGATATTTGAAGAAGATTTTGCTCAAGTAGCTATATAATAAAGGAAGCATACTTTATTTTGATGGAACTTATGATTTAGTTTTGCTTACAGGCTGTTGCACTGTTCAAATCTTATTTTGGTGGGGCTTTCGATGAAGATGCAATTCGAAACAATTTTGTTCTTATTTACGAGCTTTTGGATGGTATTTGATGCCTTGTTGGCAATTTCCATTTTTGTTTGTTACTTTCTGTGTATGGTCTTATTTATTTATTTATTTATTCATAAGAGCAAGTATTGAATATTGTTAATTCTTAATAGTTTGACCAGCTACAAGCAGAAAAAATAAGGTAACGTTTATACGGCCGAATAAAGTTTATTTTGTAAAAACTGTGCCGTGGGACTAACAAGTAGAAAAAGACTGCCTGCTGTCGACTGCTTGTCTTGTGCTATTGTTTTGGGTCTTTAGGGGGGAAAATTAGATTTTTAAAGGGGCTCAAAGACTTGCGGAGTGAGGCGTGGGTCCATGTTAGATATCATGCCTCATTTTGGGTCTCTGTTAGGAAAGAAATAACCCTTTAGGTCTTATTTTGTTTGTCTGAAGCCCATTCTTAGGTTGATTATACTTTTGTTGGGTTTTTAACGTTCTACTAGCACAATTCATCTGTTCTGCACTAATTTTGCCACTTTTCAGAACAATATTTTGCATCATGTTATGCAATATGTGGTATGGGCTGTATTCTATGACTGAATTGTTCATTTAATAGACTGTACATGGATAATACCTTTTAGTTTCTATTGTGGTTGAGTGATTTAGCATGATAATTTTCTGCCATCCATGCTAAACATATGGTCATGCACCTTGAAGAACCAATTTTTTGTATGCCCCTTTGTATTTATTCATTTTTCTCAATGAGCCTGTTTATCCTTAAAAAAAGGGGAAAAAAGGATTCTTAGTTTTTCCGTTGGACGCCTGGTTGTGATAAATTGATGTCTTAGAAATAGAGGCATTTGTGTCGTGGAAACGAGTCGAAGGCTGATATCTGCCTTGTAATTGCAGAAATAATGGATTTTGGTTACCCGCAAAACCTCTCGCCTGAAATTCTAAAACTATATATCACTCAGGAAGGAGTTCGCTCGCCATTCTCTTCCAAGGTTATATAATATATATATTTTCCAACAGATTTTGAACATAGAATGCTTAGCTATAACGTTCCTGCACCTTACAATTTCTTTCTATATATCTCTCTCACTCTTTGTAATTTTCTGGCCATTTGTATTTCTTAGCAGGATTTCTCGTCCTCTTAGACTCGTGAAGTTTATCTAAATCAATTAAATTTTCTCTTGTAGCAAAAGTAAAAATATTTTAAAGTGGAATAAATGTCTGTTTATAAACAAGTGATTGTTACTGAAATCTTTTCATTTTGTTCCTTTTATTTTGCACCTTGTGCTAAAAAAGCCTTCAGATAAACCTGTCCCAAATGCAACTTTACAAGTCACAGGTGCTGTCGGTTGGCGAAGGGAAGGCCTTGTATATAAAAAAAATGAGGTGAATGATGATTCTTTCTTTCTCTGCTTGCACGAATTAAGAAACGAACTAAATTCTGAACCTTTTCTATGCAGGTATTTTTGGATATTGTTGAAAGTGTAAACCTTCTTATGTCTTCAAAAGGTAGATAATAGATTTTAAGGTTCCTTCTGTATCACATATCTGTTGTGGAACCTTATAAAATATTGGTGATCATAGGTAGCGTTCTACGTTGTGACGTTACCGGGAAGATTCTTATGAAGTGCTTTCTTTCTGGAATGCCTGATCTAAAGTTGGGTTTAAATGATAAGATTGGACTTGAGAAAGAGTCGCAAATGAAGTCCCGTCCAAATAAGAGGTAGTTTCTCATGAGAGATTTTAATGACACTCGACAACGATACTACTTTTTATTGATTTATCTCGGCCGTCTAAACCTATTTTATTTTTTCTTTTTCGTCGTACTCAATTAGTTATTTAGCATCATCAACTCTTCTCTGTTTCAACTGAATTTCGTTTGTTATTCATGATCATTTTTATCTGTGTTTGTATTGTGTGGCTGTACATTGTGCATCTTCTATGGTTCTTTTGGTTTCTTTTACTATATCAATGATAGTAACATGAGACGAAGACATAATTGTTTGTAGTTTATTATGATTTTATTGTAGTGTTGTTCAAAAAACTTCTGATTTGCTTGATAAGTTATTTTAAGAAGTCTTAAAAATATTTCTTTTGTTGATTTTTTGTCAATGTCAATTTTCGAAGTCTTCTTAACGACTCAAAATTGGACTGGAGCATGTCATGTGCCTTAGTGCCCGTGTTAAAATGAAGAAGTTAACAACGTGGACTTATTAGATGGAAGATCGAAATTTCAGTGCTAGACGTATTACTAATATAAATCTTTCAAAATTCATAGACTTAATAGACACAACCTCGAAAGTTCAAGGACCAAATTTAACCTTTTAAATAGGATATCTCATCAATACAATGTTTCTAATTCAGAAGAATGATAATGCCCAGTACATGGATGCAGGGTTATTGAACTAAGGATGAATATTAGTTTTTCACATTGTTGGTGTTGCACTTTCTTTTTCGTTTTTTTTTTTTAACAAGAAACAAATGGCCTTTCTCTTTCTTCATGTTGTATTTCTTCTTCATTTCCTTTTTTTTTTTTCACCTTTATTTGTTAAGATAAAGGACGCTTAAGACTCTAGATTTGATGTTATCTTTGTGTATTAGTGTGAGTTCCCACATCGGTTGGAGAGGGGAACGAAGCATTCCTTATAAGGGTGTGAAAACTTCTTCCTAGTAGACGCGTTTTAAAATCTCTAGGAAAAGCCAGAAATCCTGAAGAGGACAATATCTATTAGTGGTGGGCTTAGACTGTTACAAATGGTATCAGAGTCAGATACCGAGCGGTGTGCTAGCGAGGATGTTGGACTCCCAAGGAGGAGGGTGGATTGTGAGATCTCTTATCGGTTGGAGAGGAGAACGAAACATTTCTTATAAGGGTGTGGAAATCTCTCTCTAGTAGACGCATTTTAAAACCTTGAGGGAAAACCCAAAGTGGACAATATCTGCTTGGGCAGTCAGTTTTTGTGCTTTTATTTAACTTCACATGTATCATGGAGCTATCCTTCTCCATTTTTGCTTAATCTGCAATCAAAATCAGTTGTAGAGAACTTTCATGTTAGACTAAGTTGTCTTGTGCAATTGATTCTTGCTATTTGCCCGAACTTATATAAGGAGCAATAAAAACAATTATAAGCAGTTGAGTGGTTCCACTTTTCTTGTCTTTTTCAATGTGATGGTGAACAATCTATCATATGATTGAAGAAGAAATTTTGGTTTCACATGTTTCTTTTTGTTGTGATATTTCATCTAATAAGGTATGCATTTTTTTTGTTTTATGATTTATTTTGCAGTGGTAAAACAATTGAGCTTGATGATGTTACTTTTCATCAATGTGTAAATTTGACGAGGTTTAACTCGGAGAAGACGGTCAGCTTTGTGCCACCCGATGGCGAATTTGAATTGATGAAGTGAGCTCAAATTTTTAATCTGTCTCGTGCGTTGTTTAAAGTTGAGAATCTCAATAGTTCAAGTTTTTTGATTATTAGCTTAGCTTTTCCTTTTGATTCCTTTGAACATCTAGCTTCCATTAAGTTTAGTTATTACCAATATAGAATATACCATCTTCATTTTGATGAAGTATGGAAGTTTTCCCCCGTGACGTTTATTGCCGTGTGTATCGGCGTGTCATGCACTTTTGTACTTTATGTAGCAAATTTGAGTGCTTTTGCAATTATTTTAAATGTTAATTCAATTTCTTATCCGTATGTGAGTATGAGATTTATTAGTTGTGCCCTCACCGAACTTTTATTGTGCATCTCATGCAAAAATCATCCATGTGATCCATTATCTCTTATAGAGGGAAGGACAAAGGACCCCACCATATGTTTAGAATGTGTAGAGAGGGAGAATGAATACCTTTTTGTTGGAGGTTGTAACGGCCCACTGCTAGTAGATATTGTCTTTAGGCTTTCCTTTTCGGACTTTCCCTCAAGGTTTTTAAAATGCGTCTGCTAGGGAGAGGTTTACACACCCTTATAAAGAATGCTTCATTCTCCTCTCCAATCGATGTGGGATCTCACAATTCACCCCCCTTGAGAGCCCAACGTCCTTGTTGGCACACCCCCTGGTGTCTGGCTATGATACCATCTATAACAGCCCAAGCCCACTGCTAACAGATATTGTCCGCTTTGGCTCGTTACGTATAGCCGTCAGCTTCACGATTTTAAAATACGTATGCTAGGGAGAGATTTCCACACCCTTATAAGGAATGCTTCGTTCCCCTCTCCAATTGATGTGGGATCTCACAATCCACCCCCTTGGGAGCCCAACGTCCTCGCTGGCACACCGCCCGATGTCTGGCTCTGATACCATTTATAACGGCCCAAACCACCGCTTCCAAATATTGTCCTCTTTGGACTTCCCTTTCGGGTTTCCCCTTAAGGTTTTTAAAAAGCGTCTGCTAGGGAGAGGTTTACTCACCCTTATAAGGAATGCTTCGTTTCTCTCTCCAATCGACGTGGGATCTCATAGAGGCACACTGAGAGTTTATTTCATTTTCATGCTTACTCCCTCATACATGCAAGGTATTTCTTCTATATCTAATATTGTTTATCTTCTTTTGATGCAGATATCGTATTACCGAGGGTGTTAATCTTCCATTTCGAGTACTCCCAACAATTAAGGAGCTTGGTAGGACACATATGGAAGTTAATGTTAAGGTTTGTGGTTCTCTAAATTTCATGATCTTAACGTATCAACTTCTACAATGCTTCTTAAGTCCATTATCTACTGGCCTTCAGGTGAAGAGTGTCTTTGGTGCGAAAATGTTTGCTCTTGGCGTGGTCATTAAAATTCCCGTTCCAAAGCAGACAGCTAAAACTAGTTTCCAAGTGACATCAGGTCGAGCCAAGTACAATGCCTCGATCGATTGCATTGTGTGGAAGTAAGTGTTTTCCATAGTTTCTGGTATTTTCTTCAGACAAATACGTTGTAACGCTTGCATATTGTATCATAGATATTCGTGCAGTTAGTCATCTTCGTGATATTGTATCATCTATACTTTTTCCATTTATTACAAATTTCTTCATTTTTCCGTTTTAGTTTGGGTTTAATCTTTCGTTCTCACTTGGCTTTCTGGAGTCGTATTTTGGTCTCACTTATTACGTGCTCGTGTAGTTGCTTTCTTTTTCTTTTTCTCGTTATACATGTTCTTCATGCATGTATACTCTAATATTTGTGTAATGAGGTTAGATTTATGCGATCCTTCTATATTATCTACGATTTTCTCGATAGCTCGTAATTGTTACACTATGATTTTCTTTATACGGCCTCTCATTATGTTCGGTCTCATGTTTAATGATATGCAATTGTGGCTTAGATTTTTATTTCTGTCAATTTCAGGATCAGAAAATTCCCTGGACAAACGGAACCAACCATGAGCGCAGAAGTCGAGCTGATTTCTACGATAACTGAAAGGAAGGCTTGGACACGGCCACCAATTCAGATGGAGTTTCAGGTTCTCATAGATTTAACCTTAGCATACTATTTTAGCAATGATGCATCAATGAATTTTCTTTTAACGGTATCGTAAGCTTGTGCTTACTGCTCCTTCTCTGTTGGGTCGATTTAATGGTTCCATTATGCTCGTTCTTCGTCATCGTTTTGATGCGCAAATGTTCTTAGAACTGTTTCATTGGAACTTGCATGTTCTTAAAGAGTTAGCCTGAGACTGATAACTGTTCAAAGTATTTTATGTTGATAAAATATTTATTGTTTTCGGTTAACAGGTTCCCATGTTCACGGCATCTGGTTTACGAGTTCGTTTCCTAAAGGTATTTCTTATTTTTTCCTACTGAACCTTTTTTTTAAGCACTTGAAAAGTCATTCCAAACAGATTGGTACTAGAAAATTCTCGAGTAATATGAATGGAGTTCGAGCATATGTAGTTGCGTTATAGTTTTAGGAATGAGAGTGCGAACTCTTTCATGCATAGTTCAAAATAAAGTCGTCTTGTTTTTCAATTTGTTCTTCAGGTGTGGGAGAAGAGTGGTTACAACACAGTGGAATGGGTTCGTTACATAACTAAAGCTGGATCGTATGAGATCCGATGTTAGAATTAACGAAGTGTAGAGAAAGGAAAATTTTGAATGGACGGATAGAGAACGTTCACAGCTTTCTCGCTGACACCGAGATTATTCGAGGGTATATAAGAGGAGCTTCATGGAGAGAGTGGTGGTCTTTGATGGATCATTTGGGCATTTTAGAAGTTGCTTCTGATGTTTATAAACCACTCCTTCCTTCCTTCCTTTCTGCTTATTTTTTCTGCATAACCAAAACGAGATTGTTTCTTCTGGCTGCTTTCTGTTGTAATCAAGGCCTTGTAGTGAAGTTCTTGTTCTTGAATCAATTTCTTTGATGTTGCCTTCTGATCAATGGTTATGATGTTTTTTTTGTGGCGTTTAAACGTTAAGTGTTGAAATTATATGCAATTGGAATTAGTATGTCATGTTCGAACAATTGTCTTTTGCATCGGTTCAACGATAACAATGGTAAGAAGAGAATTAATCATCGAATTTTGGGATAATAATTGGTGTTTTGTTTGTAGAGATGTCTATTTTATTCGCGGGGATTTGCTTCGAATGGGAAGGAGATTTCTCGTTTAGATGGGGAATACGTGAGGGAGGGGAGAACATTTTTTTCCCTCTATTAGGTATATAGAGTCGGGAACGGTATTATATTCTCCCTTCCCACTCAATACTCTGTGCCCCACTTAATATACATATATTTATAACGTGATTATATATATATCTATATATCTATATATATATAGTTAGATTGTTTAATTCATATTGGTTTGTTTTGATTTTTTTACCATGTTTTTAATAAATATTAATATTGAAAAATGAAGACTTTAAATTATTATTTTAAAAAGGAATAATAATATATAAATTGGAGTTCAAAATTTCATGGAAATAGAAAATGAAATACAAAATTTCATGGAAATAAAAAATGAAATAAAATTTTGGAATCTCTTTCCCAAAAATAAATTAAAATTTTCATAAAATAGAGAATGAAATAGAGGCAGAGATTATCAACAAATTGTATTTTCTTGTTCGTAAAAATTGTCCGATAAATCATTATAATTTTAATTTCTTGTCTATAAATCAATTAAATACTAAATTAATTATATATTAATTTTTAATAAATTTAATTATAAAAATGATTTATTCAACGTATTCAACGATTTATTATACATTTTTTTTTTTCATTACAACTATTTTTTTAATCATAAAATTTAAAAAAACTGACTTTTAACGTTCTCACTAAGGTATTTTTATTAATTTAGTTTAGAATAAAATACAAATTAAAAAAAAAAAAAAAAAAAAAAAAAAAAAAAAAAAAAAAAAAAAAAAAAAAAAAAAAAAAAAAAAAAAAAAAAAAAAAAAAAAAAAAAAAAAAAAAAAAAAAAAAAAAAAAAAAAAAAAAAAAAAAAAAAAAAAAAAAAAAAAAAAAAAAAAAAAAAAAAAAAAAAAAAAAAAAAAAAAAAAAAAAAAAAAAAAAAAAAAAAAAAAAAAAAAAAACCCGAAGAATGTTATATTCGGTGTAGCATAAATTTCATAACTTTGTTTGCTGCGAGTTTAAAAGTTTCCGTCGGAGAAAAAGCATACAGGATCTCCAACGATCCCAGAATTCAGAAACCCGGCAATCAAATTCCGCCCTTTTTCTTTCTCAAGATCTCCTTCTCTCTCTGATTCAATCAATTCGATCCTTGATCCTTGATCCTTGATCGTTGCAAGGTGGAGATGCGGTTCTTCAGGAAGATTGCAGGAATTCTAGGGCTTTCCAAGGACGATGCTCACGACGTCAAGCACGAAGATGAAGACGTTGATTCCGATAATCAGGCTCGGCGGGGCTTTAGCGTCCCAGTTGAGGTCGCTGTCAATCGTCCGCAACCCGGTCCTGTTCTTGTTCCCTCTAGTTCACGTGATGGTGGAGTTCAGGTCCATTCTATTATCAGTTTTTTTTTTCCTCTCTTTTAATTTTCGCATGACTTCTGGATTGTGCTTTCCGTTGTTTCATGAATTAATTTGGCAATTCATTCTATAAGGCGAGTCTAATGGTCGAGGTCATCGGATTTATTTCCATACTTTAAACCCGTTAGTTACGTCGAAAATCTTTTGTCGTCATTGTTCGGAGTAGGTCACTATGAGTTTAAATTTATGTTCTGCTTCTAATAGGCATGTTGATTATTGGATTTCCTATCTTTTTTTGTCTGCGATTCAATGAAAATGAGTTCGTGCATTTTTTTATGTGAGCTCAGATATCTTTTGACCATAAATTTGTTTGAAATTGGTTTCTTTTGGAATTTATGAATGTTGCTAACACAACCTCGTTAAAGTAAATGCTTATCAACTGTTCTTAGTCTTTGTTATTTTCCCCCCTCATGGTTTAACGATTGAAATAATTCATATCCAAATTAAACTAGAAGACAAGGAAATAGCGTTCGTCTAGCAAATACTTTTCAGCAGGGAAGATGCTAAACGATTAGAGCCATTTAAGTTTCTGATTTCAGCTGTTAAGAGCTTCTTTTTGATATTATTGTCTTGCCAATGATTAATGAATGCGATGGATATCAAGTATACGTGAGTGATGAGACATGTTAAATCAATGCGTTGTGAATACAATGCAGATAAGATACACAAGCAGCAATTAAGGGGAAAGAAAATTGAACCAGGGAAGAGCTGAACCTAAGCAAACAACTTGGTTTCCATTTTATTGATTCTTGTCTCAAACGATGGTGTCAGTTCAAAGGGACTTTATTAAAAGTTAAACAAACACCGAATCCTACTCCGACTATCTACAAGGGCCTTTGTAACTTAGAAACTGTAACAGCCAAGCTCATCGGTAGCAGATATTGTCCTTTGGACTTTCCCTTTTGGACTTCTTCTCAAGGTTTTTTAAAACTCGTCCGCTAGGGAGAGGTTTCCACACCCTTATAAAAAATGTTTCGTTCCCTTCTCCAACCGATGTGGGATCTCACGTAAACCTACTAATACTATGTTTCCATGGAAAACGTAACCTAAAGTCAGTTTAAGTTACAATTGGATTCCGGGGTTATAATCATTTACATTCTAAATAAGCTGAAATTGAAATCAAAAGCATTAAAACCATAGCCAAACAAAATGGCTTCCCGTCTAGTTTCTAAAATAAAGAGAAACCTTTGATGCAAACTTAGGGGGTAGGCTATTTCTTCTCCATTCACCAGAGTGATCCGCCAATTGAAATCATAATCTGATCCATCTGAATCATTATATATATATGCACTGAGGGATCTTATTTTAATGAGAACTTAACTCTGCTTCTTCTACATGATGGGTGATCTCGAGTCATGACATGGTTTCTAATATTTGCAAGTTTTCCTTCCATGGTACTCATTCAATGGTACTAGGACTTTTTACTGGTGAAATGTAATGATCGGTTTTTTTCATTTGTTAGATTACTATGATGGCGTGTTTCTTAATTTTGAAATATTTTTGCACATTCAGGGTTTAACATGGTATGCTAAGCGCCTTCGAGTTGATGAAGATGGAGATGTAGCCGAACAGTTCCTGGATGAGGTCTTACCTGAGATACCAGCCAGTACTACAGACCACCACAAGGCGTTTCCCCGATTTCAGATAAATAATAGAAACAGACCAGCTAAAGTAGAGAAGCAGGTTATATTGCAGGAAGGTAAACTTCAACAGTGTATTGAACATCAAGGTAGATTGCTATTGGTATGAAGGGGGAAAAAAACCTGAGAAAACTGATCCCTTCACACATTTGTGTCCAAGGTTCGATATTTTAAGTTTATTTGCACATGGTGGTCAAGTTATGAGGATGATCTGTGTTGGTTTTGATGACGAGAAAGCTTCGCATACAGTACCGAAGCTTGCATCAACTATATTAAGAAGTCTACATTAGAGGCTTAGATACCCGGTTCTTTCTCAAGCGTTATGGTTGTGCTGCTGATCCTTGAACCCTAAAGGTGGAGGAGGTAAAAGAGAAACAGAAATGGCCACTAACACACTAACCATTTGAATCTGCAGCTTTAAGTTGATTAATCTGTCTTGTTCTTCACTTGTTCTTCACTAGTCATAGGGTTGCATTTCATGGATAGTCCTCTAGGTATTAGTTGTATGAATTGTATGATTTTTTAGTATAGTGAGCCCAGATGGGTGAGGTGTGAACTCAAGATTCACTAGAATGTTTATTATGTATGTTAAAACCATTCAAAGTTAATGATTTGATTCCATTTTTATTTCCAGTTTTCTTGATATTGCCCTCCATTGTTTTCGTTTTTTCTTTTGAAGTACCGAAGATTCGAACTTTGAACTCGAGTGGAGTATATGTTAATTGAGTTATGCTTATATTGTAGTTTGTATTAGGTCGATTGATACTTTCATTCCTTCCCGATACCTCCCAAGAAAAATTCCAAATTGGATCCAAAATTATTTCCAGTTTTCTTGATAATGCACTCCATTGTTTTTGTTTTTTTTTTTTGAAGTACCGAAGATTTGAACTTTGAACTCGAGCGGAGTATATGTTAATTGAGTTATGCTTATATTGTAGTTTGTATTAGGTCGTTTTATACTTTCATTCCTTCTCGATACTTCCCAAGAAAAATTCCAAATTGGATCTAAAATTGACGGGTTAGTGTGCGCTTATTCATGTGGTTAACACTCTTCGAATCAGAATCTATTTTATGAAAGATCATGTCTTTGATGCATTGGTGCGTCTCTAAAAGATTATACCGAGTTTCTAGTAGTGTAGATTCATAATCAAAAAAGTAATTATGATTGTTCTTAAAAAAATCTACCACTTGAATAGCCAAATTGTTGAGTAGTTGCTTCAAAGTATTTATGATTGTTCTCGAATTAATTTTGAATTTGGACCGAAGTATTTAATTAAATTTAAATTCGAAAGTTTAGAATTTATTAACAATACAATAAAAGTTATTATTATTATTATTTTTGCTAGATTATTTTTCCAAATTAAAAGAAACCTCTATTACTTGAAGAACTTACTCTAAATTAAGTTTTATAGTTAAAAAAACATTTGACTATGAAAGTCAACTAAATCAACGGTTGATAATGGTTCCTACAAATTCTTCGAATAGATTGTACAACAGCATAGAACTGCTTCTCTTCCTCTTCCTTTGTTTTTCTCTGATTACGTTATCTCATCACTGCACACAACTGAAACTCACTCGCCGGAGCTTCAAAAATCAACCTTACCTATGGACGTTCTTCTTCCGTGCACTTCCTTCCGTTCTGTAAATTTGAAGCCAAATTCCTTCCGAAGATTCGTCTCGACAAACCGAAACGGTCGATTCTCTGACATCTTGAAATGTCGCCGAAAAACGACGTCAGCTGAGCTTCAGGCAGCTGTCGACGTCGCAGTCCAGACCGACAACGGTTCTCCTTCGATTCCCACTCATAAGGTCACCGTTCACGATAGAGAGAGAGGCGTTGTTCATGAGTTCGTTGTTCCTGAGGTACGGCGCCATTTTCAGTTTGCTCTTGTAGAAATGGAGCGAACATAAGTCCTTTTTCTTTTTATTTAATTTATATTGCGTCGATGAGATTGTTTTCGCCTTTTGAATGAGATTTCAACTTTGTAGATCGATTTAACGCGTTTCCCCTTGAATGGTCTCTTATTGTTTAATGGTAATGACTTATAAGGCGCGGGTAATCGATTAAAAAATTGCAGGATCAGTACATATTACACACTGCCGAAGCTCAGAGCATATCTCTTCCTTTTGCTTGCAGGCACGGTATTGTTCCCTAATTCACTAATTATGGATGAGCTTTGTCGTGTTTATAATTTATGTCAATGAGTAAGACCATTGATAATAGAAAGTATGGGCGTTGTATCAGTAATTTCACTTGTTTGCTAGTGATCTTTGTCACTTGAAAGCTAAAAATTGTCATAAAATTTGTAGATACTTCTGAAGATCATGGATTTACTATCCCATAGACTTATTTTGGTAAGCATAGGCATCAAAATGGGATTCTAATGCGTGATGTTTTCGATAAATTAGCGCCACGATTTGAACAAAGTAAACACATCCATAGAAATTCTATCTATACTTTCGATACATTTTAATGATTCACCTACATTAGGTGCCATGTCAAAGAATGTAATTGTACGTTCATGTTCATTCTGTGTAAGAAACCCAAATAACAGAATGGTTTACGACCAGATAAAAATCATTTACATTGAAAAAGTAGAACTAAACCTTTTCCCCTGCCCTTCTTTTGACTGGTACTTCCTGCAAAGAAGCCATTTTATGATTCCTTTCAATCCCCATTGCTGGTTCATATGCCATATTCTGAAAATATTTGTTTCATCACAGGCTGTTGCACTAGTTGTGCTGTTCGAATAAAATCAGGCCAAATTAGACAGCCAGAAGCCCTTGGAATATCTGCTGAATTGAAAGCAAAGGCAATTTGTTTTACTTATTTCTGGACTTATTGTTGTTTTTTCTTTTGGGAATAAATTTCTATCAAATGAAGAAGATGCTGTCTTACTTTAATGCTTTCCATTCAGAAATCACATGATTTCTATGTTGAATTTTCTTAAATATGAATTGATTCATTTTCTGGGGAAAAGCCATGAAGCAAAATCTGAGATTATGCATTGTGATGCTTTAGTAAACTAAAACTGGTACTCATTCTAGACATGAATTTTGGGTTTGTTAATCTTAGTTTTTTTCCAGGTGAGCATGGCAAAGTTATTTAGTATAGGTATGTCTAAAGAAACTGCTGCTCATTGAGGATGAGAATAACGTAGTTGAGTTTGTATTCTACAGGTTACAGGTTAGGAAAATGAAGAATAATCAAGGCCTGGTCCTAGAATGCTTCTATTATTATTATTATTATTTAGTTGGATGAGTGGATTATAGCTATGTTTGTTATGAATCACGACCCTCCGTAATGGTATGATATTATCCACTTTGAGCATAAGCTCTCGCGACTTTGTTTTTGGCTTCTCCAAAAGGCCTCATACTAACGAAGATGCCTTCCTTACTTTTAAACTTTATGATCATTCTCTAAATTAGTCCATGTCCCTCCCTAAATTAGTCCATGTCCCTCCCAACAGTAGCTATATGAATTATTCTCTTAAGAGTTACTTCTTTAAAGAACTTATTTGTTATGTTTGAACATGGTTAGAATTGGAGTAGAATTGGAGTAGTGCCAGTGCAGGTCTCGCTTACAGGATTAGTAGTTTTTTTGGCACAATTTATAGAAAAGGATAAAAGAAGAAGAATACCGCAAATCATATATCTAATCATCTCATGTAAATGCATTTCCGATTGAAATTCGTTATTGTGCTCCACACTGCAGGGATATGCACTTCTTTGCGTAGGTTTCCCAACCTCAGATGTTGAAGTAGAAACACAAGATGAGGATGAGGTATGGTTTCAAATTTTAATTTGAGAAATGAAGCAAATTTCTTTAGTTTTATAATTACAAGCTTGATAAAGTCTATTTTCCCCTCGTAGCTCTCTCAGTGAGCCAAATTTACATGTTAACCAATCATTGATACTAAAGTTGGAATTGGTTAAATCAAAAGTTGTCTGTCTGGCCTAATTTTATATGTTGGGCATTTTGGAGTCCTATGATCATTTTTCATGCAACGATTCTCGTGATGGAGGAATGGACGGGGTCATCGCTCCAAAACTCGAAGTCAAAACATGAAAAAAGTTTGACAAAATGTTGCTCTATTTGAGACTCTCTCTTTAAACAATCCCCTACGCATGCAGGTATATTGGCTTCAATTTGGAAGATACTTCGCTCGGGGGCCAATTGTAAGTTTTTTACTTTTAAATCTATCAAAGTTTAGTGGGAGATGATAAAAGTAAATCTAAATTATCTTTGTTACAAGTTGTGTTTTAAACGATTTATTAAACTGTCCAGGAGAGAGATGACTATGCTCTAGAGTTGGCCATGGCTGATGAATAAACTAAACTATTGATCCTGGAGGATCCATGGACAGAGACATGAATGTACGAATCCTGTAGAGGAGCATTACTCTGCTCAACCCTTCATCTTCTTTCTTTATCTGTATGGTTTCTGACTGTTAATATCATAGGAGGAGAATATAAGAATTACATGACATTATCTTTTATCACTAACCCTTCTCTTTATCCTGTTTGATGGGAAGTTTGTGTACTTCTTGAACACTGAAAATTGAAGGCAGTTTATTTTGGAGGAATGCAAATACTTTTGATTGGGGGAGGGTTTACTTTTAGAACCTGAATTCAAATAGCTAGATTATATTCTGATTAATGTGTTCATGGCATTGATCATGTTCCAATTAGAAATCGAGGATCAAGTTCATACTTCAGTCTTAGAGTTTTCGGATTTGATTCAGGTTGGTCTATGTACTCTTAAAATATTTACTTTAATCCATGTCAAAATGGTCACTTTTAAAAAATACCGAGATCAAACGAACATTTTGGAAGTAGAGAGACCAAAATAAACATCTTAGAGGTACAAAAAAAAAAAAAAAAACCATATAAGAACCTGAAAACAGTGCTCTCGCTCGTCTCTCTCCTACTTATTGATTAGGGAAAGTCACTCAAATCCCTTGGCACTTGTTCCTCTTTTCTTTTACAAAAATTCTAGAGTTTATGCGTTTTTCGAAAACTCAAGTAGCTTGTCAAGCTAAAATCAAAGAGTTCCCTCACTTCGAAAGATTTGTAGTAGATGGCATACTGATAGATCTCCTATTCATTTGATCTATAGGTGAAAACTCTGCTAATTTCATTGAACAAAATGATGAACTACTAAAACTCCTGAAATTATTGATCTAAAAGTTGTCTAATTGAAGTTGTTTGAGCTTGTATGATGGGAAGTTTCTGTTCTTCTATTATTTGTGTTCGGTCATTCTTCTGTTTTCTTATGTCAATGTCAGGCTGAAGAGCTTCAGGATAAACAGGGAAAATCAAAGGGAAATCAGATTCCCATTTGAACAAACTCTTTGCTATTCAAAAATTCAAGTCCCCCACTGCTTACCCAACTGGTTATAATGTTACATCTTCAAATCTGTGGTTGCTATTGCAAGATAACCTTGTTTTGTCTCCACTTTTGCCTCCTTCACATGTATGATTATGATCTCTTGTATGTGAACGATGATGACTTGTCGCATACTGTTCCGTTTTAATCAAAATATACTGTTGTATGTTACCATATCAAACCATCTATTTTGAGTGAAAGATCGAGTTTTTTCGAAACAAGTTGGGTTTCTGAAGATATTTGTGTTAAGGTTGTTTCCCTTGTTTGATACTAAAAGACATGATATGGCCTGAAGACAAGGGAAAGTATTTGAAGATGAGTTTATTCCTATTCGATGCTGGACGATCTAGCCTCCGAGATCTGTATCAGCTAGGATGAATTGTGCTCAAGGATTACGAGATCTTGATTGTTTCCCTCGTACTCAATGAGCTAGCTAGAAATAAATGGAGGACCCCCTCCAGCCAATTTTCTGGTACAAATTAGATGAAAAGGACTATAATTTAGCTGAGAGAAACAAGAACGGTTCAATATCTATCCATTCATTGGATGACAGACATATATACATTGTGAAAGGTTTAGATATTATTTTGGTCTCAATACTTTCGGTTCATTTTGGTTTCATTTGGGAGGAACATTGAACTAATTTGTGGGACAGGCAGTTTTGTTGGAGCATCAACAAGTACTGATCTGGCTTAAAATTTGAAGGCAAACTATTTGACAATTAGTGTGAAGATAATGATCATTGTGTTATTATCTTCCCTATGTTCGTAGCTCTCCGAGCATACTCAACGCACCGGGACCCCCTTTGTTACTTACTTTCTGTTCTAGTCCATGATGTTTTTTATCCAATGGGTTTCAAACTCGGGAAGGCTCATGTGTCGGTTTAAGTTAAATGTAACAATTTTGGATTCCATATGATAGAAATCTTTGAGATATCACATCGGTTGAAGAGGGGAATGAAGCATTCCTTTTAAGAGTTTGGAAATCTCTCCATAGTAGACGCATTTTAAAATCTTAAGGAAAAGCTCGGAATTGAAAGCCCAAATATGACAGTATCTGCTAACAATGGTCTTGGGTTGTTACAAAGGGTATCAAAGTCAGACATCAAGCAATGTGTCAGTGAGGAGGCTGAGCCTCGAAGGAGGGTGGATTGGAGAGGTCCCACATCGCTTGGAGAAGGGAACGAGTACCAACAAGGACGCTGGCCCCGAAGGGGAGTGGATTGTGAGATCCCACATCGATTAGAGAGGAGAACGAAACATTCTTTATATAGGTATGGAAACCTCTCCCTAACAGACACGTTTTAAAAACCTTGAGGGGAAGCCCGAAAAGAAAAACCCAAAAAAGACAATATCTACTAGTGGTGGGCCTATTACAGAATCGAAGAAGAATGGATGTTGTTTAAATTCAAAGGTTGCAGTTTAGTCCTATCCTCTATCTATCTCTCTTTTGGTCCCAACTAAACAAGACTCACATGTATCAGGTCATTATGCAGTGATAACGAAGCAAGCAATTGACATCTCAAAAAGCTGATATCTGATATAAACCTTCTTGTGCAGTTCACAAAGAGAGGGTAAAAATTACACTCAGCTTAGTATAGAAAGTTGTCTGATACCATATATTCTTTCCCCCCCAAGGAGGCCAAAACTTCTTAAATCATACAAACATCATTCAAGCACTATGAAGACGAAAAAAGCAACATTTAAAGTTCACACACAGAAATAAAGCTCTATACAAGTGAATACGAAAAAGAACCTCCGCTCGTTGAGTCGGACAAACACCGTGTAGGGCATTACGAATATTGCAAAGCCGCAGTTGTCGAATTTGGGACAACCATGTTTACGATAACTTTAGCTATTAAGCTTTTTGATCGATCGCACTTGTTGTCATCTACAACGAAAGACATTAATAGTGTGAGGTACTACTAGAATGGACGGATTCTCTTCAGATTCAAGTAAGAAACGACGATGGAAATATAGAACTATCAGAGCTCTGTTGGTGTTCTGAGCTTTCAGATGATGCTTAAACTGATGAAACTAACACGAATTCAATAGAATGAAAGTTTATACTTACACCAATTGATGTCACAAAATTGCATACTGCACATTTCACTGAGCGTGCTCCATACTGATACATCAGTAGCATCCTGCAGTTCCCACAGCTAACGTGTGCCACCTGATTCGCTGTAACGGTATACATTCGACGCTTAATGCACAGGAGTCGTGCCTTAAAACACCAAGGTTTGCATCCCCAAACAATCATCGAAGAGCGGATTCGAATATATGTTCTTAGGGAACAGAGAATGCTGATATTCATGATGGGAGCTAGCTAGGAAGGAGATGTTCTAGGCAGCCAAAGAAATTTACCAAGATTTGTAGAATCACTCTCTAAACTAGTTAGATTTACATACCTTCCAAAGCTAAGTTGACGGTGTGGCAACAAGAACATTGTACGCTCGTGGCACCGCGGATGTACATGAGAAGAGTATGGCAGCCTCCACACACCAATTGTGCCATTTCTGTGCCTGTTTTACAGCATAAAGCAACTAAAACTTCCAATATTTCTTGTAGATGGTGAAAAAGAAGAGGAAGAACAGATATACCAGGAGGTGGAACGGCAGTGACTGCATTACAAACTGCACAGCAAACAGAGGTTGCCCCAACAGGATAGAGTAAAAGGTTTCTACATCCTGAGCAAACAAGCTGGCTCTGTGTGGCTAATGACCAACAAAATCCACATTTCAAACACTGATCACAGAAAGCACACACAAACACATAGAAAATCCAAAATAAGCCTGAAAACTTGAGCCATTCTTGCAGGGTTTCTCATAACCAATTTGGCTCTGGATATGCTACCTCAAACAGTGGGGCTGAGGTCCATTGAATGGGAAAATCAATAGATTTCCCACTTGGAAAGTTGAAAAATGGCCAACTGTAACCACCCAAGCCCACCGTTAACAGATATGGTCCTCTTTGAGCTTTCCCTTTCGGGCTTCCCCTCAAGGTTTCTAAAAAGCGTCTACTAGGGAGAGGTTTCCACACCCTTATAAAAGTCTTATAAAGGGTGCTCTGTTCTCATCCCCAACTGATATTGGATCTCACACAAACTAAATCAATTCCTCGGCAACCAAACAATAATGTAAAGCTTTAAAACAGAGTGAATACCATTAGCAGGCTGTGAATAAGGTTGTGCTGGAGGTGTTGGATATGGTGCAAGAGGAACCGGTGGCATTTTGGAGCTTGATAGAGGAAAATCTTCCCTATTTCTCTCTTTAGAACCTCACTGCCTCAGCAACAAACAATACCAGCTACTCTCCCATGGAAACAAGATTTCTAGACAGGAGCCTGATGAACAAATTCACAGAAAACCCTTAAACAAGAACAGATTAGAAACAAAATTACATCAAGGGTTGGGCAGAAATTTGGATTGAAATGAAGCAAAACCCACAAAACAGAGTAAAGAACTATAATGTATGATTATTGAAGAAGATATGGAACAAACCAAATAAAGAGAAACCCAACAAGAAAGCTTGAAAAGGCAATGGAAGAAGTGGGGCAGATTCATAGAGTTGCAACTTGCAGAGGATAGAGTGAGGGCGAGAGAGAGAGAGAGAGAGAGAGAGAGAGAGAAAAGGGGTTTATGTAAAAAACTTGAGAGATTTGACAAAGTAACCAAGCAAGAATGAGATGCCAGTTTAACCTGTCATTATCGATTCTTTTTGTATTCCACAGTTGTTTCCAATGGCTGCTCTGAATCCACATAGCTGCGGGGGGGTTTGGGGAGGTTGAAGAGGAGGGGCTGTTCCGCCGATCAACCCCACTTATGAGCACTGATTTATGGATTGAATCGAGGGTCGTTAAGCGGTGGAGAGGCAGCCGGGTGGATGGTAAGAAGAAGATGAAAGGGGGTATTATTATTGAGAAATGGGTTAATTTTTGAAGTTTGGTGATGAAGGCGTTGGGAACATGTGAGTGTGGGGGCAAAGGGCCACACGCTCCTCTCTATGGGATGGACTGATGGCTGTTGAGGAGCCACGTCACACACCCTCCCTCTCTCTCTCTCTCTCTCTCTCTCTCTCTCTCTCTCTCCCCATTTTACTTTATTATTATTATTATTTTGCTATATTATTAAAAATATAACATTGTGGAGACTCTATATTCCATGTGTATTCCAAATTAAATAGACTTTTTAATTTAATTTCTTGGATGCATTTTATTTTTCTTTTAGAACCTTTTTAACTTTGATTTAGGGACATCTTAAATTAATTAAAAAAATATTCTAAAAACTTTAAAAATACCTTTAAATCTTTTTTATTATTAAATTTAAAAATAATTTATAAATGGTATGATACACAATTTTTGTTCATAATTGATGGTAAGAACTTATTTGCAATATTATTTTTTTAATGTTATTTTTAAAATTTTATGGATATTTTTTAAACAGAATTTTAAGGGTATTATTGAATTTTTTAAAAGAATTAAAGAATACTGTTCTCTTCCAAAACTAATAATATTCGTTAGATATAGTATTTTTATTAATTTAACATAATATTAATCCAACTCTCACAGTTTTGCTTCTGGTTAAAGGCCACATTGCAATCGAGATAATTTCTCTTACATATATACACCTATGATCTTTCTTTTAGCCACTGTGGTCTATGACTTCTTTGTTCGACACCCAAGAATTCCACCAACATGGTTAAGTTAGAGACATGACTCTAATACCACTTATTAGCAACAACGTACCTCTATAATTGTATGTATAACCCACTTTGAATATAAATTCTCGAAACTTTGTTTTAATTCACTTGAAAATAACATTACATTAAAATTATTGAATAAATAGGAGAGAGAAAAAAAAAAGGCTAAAGGTGGACAAATTAGAAAGAGAGAGGACCATTAAATTGTACTTTTGTTGGGTTTTTTTTTTTTTTCTTATTTTTTTAGAATTCATCTCAATGAGATATTTTCATAATTAGAAGTTAGACTTCGAATCAAACTAAAAGGTAATTTTTTTACGAGAACATTAACTTTCTTATTTTCTCCGAGACGAAATTTAATAAAGTTATGTAACGACCCAATTGATCCGATGAAAAAAATTATAAGAGTTACCAAATGCATATTATAAGGAAAAAAATATTGACTACAAGTTTATACGGATGATTTCAAGTGTCTATATAATATTAAAATTTGAATTTTTAGAAATTAAGTTGATATATATATATATAGGATTTTCTTAATTTTTTTTTAATAAAGGTTATATTAAAAAATGAAAACTTTAAAATAAATATATTTTTTAAAAAATAATAAACTGGAAAATATTACTCCTCGGAGTGGACCGTCAGTCTCATGCTCCTGTTGCATCTTTGAATTCATGTTTTCTAAAGCTAACACGTGGTCTCATTAGAACTCAACGTCTGTCACCACCTTGCCAACTACTCTGGTCCTTCTATCGCCTGCCACATGTCTTGTGAGATCCCACGTCAGCTGGAGAGTGGATTGAAACATTCCTTATAAGAATGAGAATGAAACTTTGAGAGAAAACCCATAATGGAAAATCCAAAAAAAGACAATATGTGCTAAGATGGACTTGAGCTTTGACAAATGGTATTAGAACCAGACATCATGCAGTGTGCTAGCGAGAACGAAACATTGAAAAGACAATATGACATTCTAGTCATTCTAGTCCAAAGTTGTTCCAAAATATAAATATTGACGTATAACTTCACTTTTCAATTTGATTCAACTCGAGCTCTTCACAAAACTTGTGAGAAACATCTCCAAGAACACTCTAATAAAAACTTAGAACCTAAATCTAAGTAAAACTCACATATGTGAGAGAAAACAAAAGTAAAAACCCAAAAAATTTATCTTCCGTTCTTTCTCGATTTTTGATGGATTTAAGTAATATAAAAGTCTAGAACGCTTTTCCTTAGATCATTAAAATTCTAACTCCAAACCAACGTTTGGAGCAAATTTCGGTTTCTATATCTAATTGTGTCTCAAAACTCTAATTCATCTTTCTTTTTCTTTTTTTCCTTTTTCTATTTCTTTCTTCCTCTTTAATGGTCTGATTATGGCATTAACGAACCCGTGATTAGGAAAGAGGGGTAAAAATGATCATTTAACCCCTCGATTGGCTTTGACCGATTTTTTCCATTTTTTTCTAATTTTCTTTTATATTGTCTTGGGTTCGTGTGATTTTTCTAAGCATTTTCCCCTTCTACCTTACTTTAAAATTGACCTTTACGACCTTCAATAAAATCTCAAAAGTTCAAATTTAAAAGAAAAATTAGGTATTTAATTTCTCGTCGAAACTCAAGTGTTACAAAAAATCGAATGCACTAAACACGAGCCAACCATGTAGTGAAGCCAAACTCAAATGGACGTTGCTCCATAAGCTATTGTGACAAAGTCAAAACACAATAGAGCTAAACACGCAACAAAGTTGTGCACTAAATTATGAAAACTAGTGACACGCCAAAGCCAAAATTCTTCTTAAGCAACTAGTGACAAATTCTTACGAGAGCGAGTCAAGCTTGACTTTTGTAGTCAGCAGCTAGGGATTTCGATTTTTCTCCCTTTTTAAAATTTTTGAAACGGCTACACTAACAATTTCTTTCTACACCATTTTTCTCACAAACTTTTCATTACGAAGATCGACCTTTTTCATGAAAAACAGAAAGCGTACGATTTAGAAAATAAAAGAAAAGTATGAAAAAGAGAAGCATGGGCATGAAAGAAGCAATTTGTGAAGCAAAAACAAAGTTGAGGAGTAGAAATTCCAAACAAGGGTTTGATGTGAAAGAACTATATTAAGATCTGTTGAATCAAATGTGTACAAACATGGACCATTTGAAAACTACATTCACCTTGAATGGTCACTTTAAACACTTTGGCCTTATTCTTTCACTCAATTTCAATCCACTTTGTACTCAACTCGAACTCAACGTGTACCATTTTTTTTTTCAAAGTTTAGACTTTTTACCTGAAAAAATGTTCGATTTTATTTTGTTTTGGGAACAAAGTAAATTCAATAGGTAAAATGATGTTGCCCGTTTGATGAACTTCTTTCCGTTCACGATAATAGAGATACTCTTTATACCATTTCTTTCTAAAGTTATAAGCGCTTGGGTTTAAATTTAAGATTGGTTTTAATATTTGCAGGTCTAAACAATTCATTCTTAGCCACTAACTCTTTTATTTTGGAATTGATATGTTTACAAGAAACATGACCGTAGATAGTAGACATGAGAATCTAGTTCTGAAAAAGGTTGTAGCTAATAAGAAAGTGTCGTTGATTTTAGTACATCATTAGGACCACTTCGAAACATATATTATTGAAGAAAACTTGTTGAATAACTTGTCTCACGTCCATTGAACATTGTTAAGACGACATATGATTTTACGTTATGACTCTTCCTAGGAGACTTTAAACTTTCATATCACACTGTTACAATGCTCGTGATTTTATGTTTTAACACTATTATGATGCACATGATTTTACGTTATAACCCTATTTCGGAGACTTTAAACTTTCATAGCACATTGATACGGTGCACGTGATTTTACGTTTTAACTCTATCTAAGAAACTTTAAACTCCTATATCATACTGTTATGATACACGTCATTTACGTTTTAACTTTACTTTCATATTACACTGTTATGATGCTCGTGATTTTATATTTTAACTATAAGTAGGAGTCTATAAACTTTCATATCACACTGTTACAGTGCTTGTGATTTTACATTCTAACTCTACCTTGGAGACTTTAAACATTCATATCATACTGTTACGATATACGTGATTTTACGTTTTAACCCTACTTAGGAGACTTTAAACTTTCGTATCACATTGTTACGATGCATGTGATTTTACATTTGAACTTTACCTTCATATCGCATTGTTACAATGCTCGTGATTTTACGTTCCAACTCTACCTTGGAGACTTTAAACATTCATATCATACTGCTATGATATACTTGATTTTACGTTTTAACCCTACTTATGAGACTTCTAACTTTCATATTGCATTGTTACGATACACGTGATTTTACGTTTTCACCCTATCTAACAAACTTTAAACTTTCATATCACATTGTTACGATGCACGTGATTTTATGTTTTCATCCTATCTAACAAACTTTAAACTTTCATATCACACTGTTACGATGCACGTGATTTTATGTTTTCATCCTATCTAACAAACTTTAAACTTTCATATCACACTGTTACGTTGCACGTAATTTTACGTTTTCACTCTATCTAACAAACTTTAAACTTTCATATCACACTGTTACATTGCACGTAATTTTACGTTTTCACCCTATCTAACAAACTTTAAACTTTCATATCACACTGTTACGATGCACGTGATTTTACGTTTTCAACCTATCTAAGAAACTTTAAACTTTCATATCACACTGTTACGAAGCACGTGATTTTACGTTTTCATCCTATCTAACAAACTTTAAACTTTCATATCACACTGTTACGTTGCACATAATTTTACGTTTTCACCCTATCTAAGAAACTTTAAACTTTCATATCACACTGTTACGATGCACGTAATTTTACGTTTTCATCCTATTTAAGAAACTTTAAACTTTCATATCACACTGTTACGATGCACATGATTTTACGTTTTCAACCTATCTAAGAAACTTTAAACTTTCATATCACACTGTTACGAAGAACGTGATTTTACGTTTTCATCCTATCTAACAAACTTTAAACTTTCATATCACACTGTTACGTTGCACGTAATTTTACATTTTCACCCTATCTAAGAAACTTTAAACTTTCATATCACACTGTTACGATGCACGTAATTTTACGTTTTCATTCTATTTAAGAAACTTTAAATCATATCACACTGTTACGATGCACATGATTTTACGTTTTCA